AATTTAACGGGTCCTTATTTACAGTTGCGCCGCCAGCCTTTTTATATGCAATTATTACTGCCATCTCGAGGTGATCGGAATACACTAGCTAGAACCAGAACTTTCTCGAACCAACGCGGTAATTCCAAATATTTAATTACGCGTAATGCCACCTAGCGGGTAGCTGAAAAAGATAGTACATAGTACCACTACTCGTCACTAGATGTTGTTGTGTCACGCACTTTGCGACTATCCTACTAGTAGAAATATAGTTAAGGGCAGAAATTGGCCATTGGAAAAAACTGAAAAATTCATTATGGCCCGAAGGCTTCAAAGTTTGGAGACCCCTGGATTAGACAATGGAAGTCCGAAGTAATGAAATGCACCACGAAACATTGTCAACCACCTTCAAACAAACATTGTATTGGATGTTGCATTGTATTTTTAATAATGTTGCCACCCAGCGGTTCGTTGTTATAATGTTTTCGTATGTTGAAAACTTGCACTTGGAGAAAAACAAATTTGCGTCGTTTACGGTAAAGCATGCAGAAACGTTTGTTATTGAATAAATATTTACTAAAAATACTTCCATAATTTCAATTGAATGTTTATGATGGAAATTACTCGAGTGGGATCAGAATGTATAATTGATGTGTGCTCTTCCAGCAGGGCCGGCATCATCTATTTCTAGAACATTCATTGTTTGTAGTGATACACGCGTGATGCCAAATAGTAAGCCTATAAAATGATAGATCGTCAACGAACGTTGAAAGCATGCCTGCGGTCTAAATATATAACGACTCGATCGTTGGCGCAGCGTCGTTTTTTTCGCCGAAAAAAAATAAACAGTTGCAAGCGCGTTCTTTGTTTAGTGTATCGGTTATTTTCGCAACATGTCGCAACAAGAAAAACCCGAAATCCGTTTTACAGTGTACTGGAACGGGCAAGTTATAGTAATTTATCTGTGAAATGAATTGATTGTGGTAATTGTGACGAGGGAAAGCAGCGCGCAGACCGCGCAGCCTGAACATGGCGTCATTATTTTGGTGTCAAATTACGAAAAAAACTTTGCGACATCGAACAGGTACAGAATGTTTATGAATCAATTCCATCTTCTGATGAAACGATGATTTAGCAGCATAAATAGTGAAGTTCCACGTCCTTCAATCTGACGTTGTTGCATTTTAGGTTATTTTTATTGAACAATAGGAAACATTCGTTGTAATATATTATATTGCTATTATTATTGTTCATCCGTATTCAAAAAACACACTTTAATGAGAAATTTTCACTTGAAAGTTTACAAAACCCCGACATGTGTTTCGCTATACGATAGCATGTTCTAGCGTCACAATAATGTTTTTAAAAATGTTTGTCGTGCTTTTATAGTAATTTGAACATTATAAATACTCGTGTTACTACTTGCCAAATTTCTACATGTAAAATTCATTACCTAATATATTTACCTATATAGGAACAATTCATAAGACTGGTGAATGATGAATAACCTGATATATTTATAGTCCAGTCATTATAGTAAGTTCACCTCGGAATTCGAGATACCCAGCTGTAAGTCTGTAAATACTTGTATATTGACACCCTAAAAGTTGTTTTAAAACCTACATATGGCGAGGTGTACGCAACTATTAAATTTCAAGTTCAAAGTTCACAAAAATTGTTTTTTTGCGCTTTTTTTGTAAATATCTTATTTCCTATGGGTTTTTTGCGTATTGTATTTATTATCAATATTGTAGAATACAAAATTCTCCACAAATTTTGTTTGCGCAAAAAACTGATTTTTGTGACCTTTGACCTTGAAATTCAATAGTTGCGTACACCCTACCATATGTAGGTTTTCAGAAAACTTTTAGGGTGTCAGTATACAAGTATTTATAGACTTACAGCTGAGTATCTCGAATTCCGAGTTTCTTACCTAATTCAAGCTTAAATGACTTATTAAGAAAACGCGCGATATGTTTCAATCACCAGGTGATCATCTTCAAGAGGATGATTAATCAAACTCTTGAATATTTTCACTTGGTGATTGAACCCTCAAATCGCTCTTGCAGAATATCCAATGTGGCATCCAATTCAGGCTAAAAGAGGTTGGCAATCCAATAATCATCGACCTATAGTGCTCGCCGTTGACAGTGATGGCTTGACTCGTCGTTCTCAAAGAAATATGGACCGATGATGCCGCCAGTCCAAAGTCGACTGCCTCGGATTTTCTTGCACACTCTCACAGACAGCGGCGATGTTTTCGGTAGATCTTGCCTTTCTTCAACGTACGTGTGTTGGTCGATCGTTAACTGAATCAGTGGACTCAACCACATTGCGAATAGTCCTCTAGGTAGGACGAATATGGCGACCGTAAAATAGGATAAGCGCGCGGTACGTTGCCCAAACAGAACACCCGTTGTCATAAAACAATTTTATTATTTGCATGTGTTGCTGAATTGCCAAAAAGCAGTTCACTTATAACGCATTGGTCTGGTAATTGAAAATAAAATTCAGTTTTTGCTTGATTTAATAGTTGAGTCTAGATCAGTTGCAAATTGTGATTTCCAGGCCACTGTGGCCGCTGATTTTACTCTGTTAAAACTTAGTACTTGATAAGGTACATTATACTTCTGACATTCAGACATAACCGTCATGTCATAGGTACATTGAATAACTCGTAGTGATTGAGATAATTTCTCATAAACTTTCGTTTTAACACAATGAATTCGACATTTTTTTGATATCATACAAGGGGGATTCCAAATGACAATAAACAAAGTATTATTTATGATTTCCTGAGTTTCTGTTTAAAATCTGCTTTTCCGTTAATCAGCTGTCGCCCCCATACGAACGACAACTCTCAGAAGTTGAGAAACATGTGCGAGCTAAGGACTGACGAGGTTTTACCTTTTAACGTGTGATTCCTAACACGTGATTCTTGTAATTGAAGGGATTGTATTCAAACTCAAAATAGGTTTATTTGCATTAGAGATTACAAATAAATCATTTTCATTATTGTTATAAATATCGTTTAATGATCATCAGTATTATCTATATTTGAATGTTTACCAGTGTTTATTACTCGTAATTACTCCAAAACTGCCGAATGCCTCACCCGGTACACAAATTTGTCTAAATACCGTCTTCGCGATGGAGTCACATCGACTTCCTGTTGCACCTAAAACAGTAATTATAATTGAAACTTTGGTTAACAATTTCCGATTTCTCGCTCGTGCACAAGAAATGGCGGATGTCGAATAACGTTTGCCTGTTCTGCTTCTAAGTGTAACGGGATATGAGGCTTGATTTTTTTCGTTAATAAATAAATAAACAAAAACCCCTTCAGCCTTATTATGTTTGTATTGATGGAGAATGGCAAGCCAAGAAGGTTTTTTCCTCAATAATGATCACTCCTGAAAATATTTCTCTTTCAGTATATACCTACGTGAATATCTTTGAATTTTTCAAATAAGTTACCGATAAATATGAGATTGTGACGGATCTTAAAATTTAGTGTTATTTTTGGAATGTCTTCTCAAGTGTGTACATGGCTGGTTATTACACAGAAAGGGTCACCCTACAGGTAGAGGGATTCTCTCTACCTGACACCCTTATGGCTCATTTCAGTCCTCAACTCAGTAGGTTAGGTCAATTTTTGACAAAACAAAATCAAAAACAAAAACATCCTATTTGTTATCTTAGTATTTGTCTATATTTCAGTCTGTGTTGTCTTAGAACATTTTTAAAATGATAAATTAATACATCATGATTTTTATCCCAGTGACATGTGACAGACAGTGGTACCAATTGGAAGGCAATTGTTCGTTTTACGAAAAATGTCAACAAATGTGACTCTTACAGACTCATTTTGTATAATAATAGTGAATACTTATATGGAACATACTGCTACCATTGATTATATTTTACAAAAATACTGTACTAGCCGGATTATCCTTTGTGGTGACTATAATATCCCTGACGCATTTTGGTTTAATAGGAAGCTTGGTTTGAATGTTGATTGTCCAGAAAACTCACCTGCACTAGCTTTATATCATTCATTTATTTTCCATAATTTATATCAAATCAATAATATTCCAAATTCAAGAAATGTTTACTTAGATTTAATTTTTTCATCATTCTTCGGTATGTTTTGATTTAAAAAATGATACAAAGGAATATCTCAAATATGATGAATACTTTTATGACTTTGTAAATGGAGATTATATGGGTAAGAATGATTTCTTGGCAAGTATCAATTGGGATACCGAAATACTGAAGGATGAGGATTTAAATATTGTAGTTACAAATTTTTACAATATTCTCTATACAGTTCTGGAGTACTGTATTCCACTAAAAGAATATAAAGCTTCTACTTTTCCAGTATAGTTCAATTCTGAGCTGAAAAAATTAGTTTTCAGGAAGAAATCGGTTCACAGAGAATACAAAAATGGAAATTTTTATAAATATGAAGATTTTTGTTATCTGAGAGTTAAGTGCAAAGGTTTGAGAAACACTTGCCATCAAGCATACATAAATAAAATAGAGAATAACATCAACAATAATCCTAGAAGCTTCTGGAATTATANAATTCATTAACTCATTTTTACGATTTTTTTAAAAGTTTATTTCATTTATTTTTTCCTTAACCTACTGTCAAATACATATATGTGAATTTGTTAATTATTTTGTAAAAAATAGGCATTGCCGTAAATGAATAAATAAATAAACTTTACTACCATTTTTTTCCAAACAGCACCAAGCATCAGGTGTCAACAATGAATCGATTTCAATACCCTGTCAAGCGGTATTTGTACTTTGACATTGACTTACTGGTCTTAGTCCTAAAAGTTGAAAGTCGGAAACGTTCACGGTTACAATAATTCAAGGAAAAAGAAAAGGCAAGCACATAGAAGATTGTATAAATGATTTTATTGAAACATACACATTGCACTTTTTTTCGGACTAAAATTAATACAGAGACAAAGACTGAGACGTATGAATTGGCCCTAATTTTTCAGTTCAATGTTTGATGGTACTAAGCTTCAGTCCCATTAAAGAACAATAGCCCATCGTAAGACGAATTTCTTCAGCGAAAGTAATAACAATGGATTATCCTTCAAGGCGTAAACCCTGTACAGCAAATTGGTGCCGTTCGGTTCGTAATGCACTTTATGACCACTACGAGGTAGTGGTGTATCTAAATTTACCCACAGAAGAACTTCAGTTCAGGAAGGACTCGAAAATAGATCGGATCGTTGCACTTTGAGAACGTCGACGGCACTTTGACGCGACGTTTCGAATTGTACTCGTCGTTTCGCGTTCGAAAATGTTGGCGAATCTGAGACACTTGAAACCGTCTTTGTTGCATGTGGGGGTGATTTTGACATTCGCCGCGGTGGTGTGTCACAAAGCGGTAACTTACTTGGTTCTTTATCCTCTTTTCAGATTGCTGTTCGGTACGCTGTATCCCGCTTATGCTTCTTACAAGGCTGTGAAGTCCAAGGACGTTAAACAATACGTGAGTAACTTTTTTAAAATTAGTTTTGGTTGAGCACACACTTTTTTTATAGTATTTCAGTATGTCAAGTTGTGAGAATGTTGTTTGATTTTAAAAGCAAACTTTCATTATATATGTTATATTAGAAAAAAAAACAAGAACAAGTGAGTTGAATTTAGTATCAAAAGATTTCAGTTTTTGAGATTCTCAAGCTGAAATAATTTTATTCATTCCTCAATATAATTCGTGAAAATATATACAGCGACACTATCAATATTTGCACTACATGGGGGGGCTGTTTTGAAATTTGAATTTTGCTTGAAAATACGGATTGCTTCTGTAATTTTTCAAAAGTGTCTCAGGAAACAGTTATTCAGTTTTAAATTTTAGCCCCCCCACCGAATTTCATCTCTCTACCGTCACTCCAAATCATTCTAATTTTTTTAGAATTTTTGCTCTACCGATTCGAACGAAATATTTCATAATTTTCATATTGGTGATATGTAGGTCCTAGGTTGCATGTGCCAATTAAAATTAAGCTATTTATAATTCATTGTCAAGCAAATTCTAACTACGAAAAGATATTTAAATTATATTTAACTGTTGTATTCTATTTCTATTTAATTTTTGCAGATATTTCTTCGGTAACATAATTTGCATAATTAAAATTTATTCCGCTGCCTCCAATAATATCTACCTAGTTATTCAAACGTGTCTTTCATCACAGTTGTCTTCTTATTAACTTGTACAACAATATTTGAATCATTATCTTGGACAAGTTGCGACTTTCAGTGGTTATAATTTGCATGGGCAAACTTTAAATCAACCAGTATTTGTCCAAGTATTTGGAATATACAAGCGTATCGTAGGCGAAAAAGTAAATTGAATATTTTTCTGCATCATAATTTTATAGGAGTAACAGAGGTCCAAGTACACTTCCTTGGGTAACACCTTTATTATCTTTTATTCGTCCAGATACCTAATTGGTTGTACAATTTCACGAATATCGCAAGTATGACAAGTTGAATTGAATTTTTTATATAACAAAACGATTGAAACATTTCGTAGCACAATAAAACACTATACTAATTGTTTAGCAGTCGATCAAGTTATAAGTAAACTTTGTAGAGAATTATATTATAGTTTTCGTATTGGTCACACAATAAGGGGGATAAACGACCAAAATTTGAACCCTGCGTTACACCTGATGTGGTTGGATAGTGAACCGATTGTTGCTCTTCAATTTCAACAGTAGTGAAAACTACTGTGGTGTGTTGCCGAAATGCCAGATACCAAAAGCATGGAAATTTATTAGAAATATATTTGTGTGGATTAATTGTTGTATTATCAGTTTAACGTATAAACTTCACAGGAAGAAGTTGGAATGAAGTGAATTATTCATTATATAAATTGTAAGAAGGGATCTACAAGAGCATTGAGCCATGTTTTGATAATTTGAAATTTGGAGGCGTATCTGTTAATTGATGATACTGTCTTTATGCTAATGGTAAATGTTAAGTTATTTGAATATGTACTTGCGCTTTGTACTATCGTTATGTGTTGAGGAATCATCCTGTACATTAGCACCATGTAAAATACGGAAATATCCTTTTTAAAATGGTTTGTAGGTAGTTGGGCTTTCCTAAATGTGTTCTTTTCAATCAACAACCCAAGAAAGGTCCTTTGACCATATTTTAGGACAGGAAATTTAAGAGAGTTTGTTGAATTCAGGTAGTGAAGAAATATCATTTTAAATTTATTTCTGTTGCTGTCCTCGCTCTTCTACAAATCGATTCAGTTTTAATTTATACATTCCGCATTACGGGAAATGTTGAAAAAAATGCTATATAACATAATTAGCTTCGATCGACATATTACAGGTATTAAATAATACGAAAATAAAATAAACTCGTTAAATTGTAACAACGGAAAATAAATGAAAGGTTGTATGTAAGATACAGTCTTTAATGAAGTTTGGCGAACTTTTGTTAATATCACACAATCATCGATTTATTGACTTGTTTCTGTTAGTGAAATAAAGTTTATATCCATTCTTTTCGGATAGTTGAATCTATCCTAGAATCAATTATCTGATTGAAGTAACAATTAATGTTTCTACACAATAAACTGTATATTGAGCTGATTTTGTCTTGTCTTTCATTATAAAGAAACCTTGTCACAATGTTGAATGATTTTTGGTAGATCCTATACTTCTAAGATCTTCGAAGAAATGTTCACTTTCAAGGTGCTTTTCTCCACAAAATTTTAATTTCCTGACTTTCCGATGTTTTCTCACACATATTCATTGAAGGCCTGTGACATACTTGATCATTGTTAATACAACCAAACGAAACTTGAATGAACGCTATAAAGTAAGGTTTGCAACGTAATAATTTTAATGTTAGATACTGAAATAAGGAAATGGGTGAATGCATCTTTTCAACAGAAACCAAAATATTTCCCAATTCGATCCATATAATGTGTTATTGCGATTGTTTCTATTCCAGTTGTATATACATTTTAGAGAGCGGCATTCACGATAGTTACCATCATTTTGTAACTCGTTATTATTTGTTATGGTTCATGTATGTTAACTTAGTGTGACCAGATTTATATTTGGAACTTATTTATGTACGACTTCCGTTCAAATTAGAGTAGTCGTCGATTTGTCCGACACACTAAATTCCAATGAAAACTTGGTCGGAATACTGGAATAGATACAACCGAGGACGAAAATAGGACACCAAGAGATCGAAGAAAGGTGTCATCTTAGGAATGTTTCAGTTCAAGATTGAGATTTGAATGCAATGGGAAACTCGTCCCACAGGAAATGTTTTGTTCATTATCATGGTTTATTGAGTCATTTGAGAAATTGTCGCTATACCTCTCCACGAAAATCAATCTACCGTTATTGACAACTTATCGAATACTGCGTCGATAATTATCTCGATTCTGGTGTGTAGGAAAAGTTATGTTGCCATTACATTATATGTGACGGAATTGGTGAGAAAATGACATTTTTCACTCGCTTGATATGCGCTCATGAGAAATATGTCGTTTTTCTCACTTGTTTTGCAATATACTATTCTCACTATTTATTCAAAATACGAGGTCAATTGAAAAAATGAGGTGGATTTTTATTTTTCTCAAAAATATTTATTCATCAATTTCTATTGTGTCTCCTTCAAAGTAGTCCTCCTCATATATAATACACTTGTGCCAGTGTTTTTATAATCCTCAAAATAGTTCTGATATCCACTTTTTGATATATCTCTCAGCGATTCAGTTTGATTGCCTCAATCGTCACAAAACGCCGTCCTTTTGCTCTCTTCAATCGTGGGAACAGGATAAAGTCGCAATGGGTTGAATCTGGTGAATACGGTGGCTGAAGCATTATTATAGTGTTGTTTTTGGCCAAAAAATTACGAACAAGCAGTGACAAGTGAGCAGGTGCATTATCGTGATGCAAAAGCCATGAATTGACCGTATGACCATGTGACAATAACTTCTGATGTACTAAGCCACTGTTAGCAACAAAAAAAAATAGTGAGCAAAACTTTGACATTTGATCGATCTTGGCGTACTGTTTTTGCTCTTAGCTCTCCTGGGTTCTACCATTGGACGATTCAACTTTGGGTTCGATGTCATAACCATATGCCCATGATTTGTCACCAGTTATGACCCTTTTAAGCAAATCTACTGTTATGGTTTGGCCCAGTTATGTATGTACCTATGTATATAATAGGGAGGGTGACTGTATACCCACAGCACTTAGGCCACATGTGACCCATTGTACATCCTCCCAAGGAGTTGTCCTTCTAGGTCATCGTCCATCCTGTCCTTTCCAGGAAGGTGGACAGGTCACTAGGAGACATCTCCTTCATATTGGTAGGTGTAGGCCAAGACTCGCCGAACACACACTCTCTTTGGCAACCTTGAGATATCTCGCGGCGGCCTCCGCGAAGGTTTTGGAAGCTGCAGCGACATTACTGTCGTTGCACGGCTTCTTCGAACTTCCTGGGGTTCCCCTAGTGGAGGTATTCAAGTGAAGGCGCTTTCCTGCAGGGACAGCCTGTTCCTTGCCTTTATTCAAGGCGGAGATCATGGCGCCCGTAGCAGGAAGTGCCTTTGTTGTTAGAGGTGGAGTGGGGGAGGTGGAGGATGCACTTATAGTTGCTGCCACTCCTGCCTCTTTCGCTCTCTTTCTCCTTTTGGCCTCGGCGTCGCAAATGCGCCGCCTTTGTATTACATCACGAGATGATCTGCTAAGTCCGGCCTCATTCCGAGCGGTGGGGTGGACATTCCTGTCCATCCCCAGCCACTGCCATAGATTGAGGTGAGCACTTCTCAGCCTCGGAATTGGTTTTTGTTGTGTCTGTTTTGTTTGTATCATATATGTGTGTTCCCACGAGTAGCAATGGGATAGTTGGTCACCTCTGGCAGAGCCCCGCATTACCAAAGGAAGGCTGATTACAATGAGTTTTCGCCCGGTTCCCCAAGGGGATAGTTCGTAACCGCATATCAACCTGCGGCCATTCAGCTGTCGGCAAGATTCCTTACACCTTAGCTTGGGAAGGCTGGGTAGTTTTAGTTCCCCTCACCCTACTTATTTCTGCCACTGACCAGGAGTCCGGCGATCCCGTTAGTAGGGCCACATATTGGCTTCCCGGACAGGGCCCCCAGTCCCCTAGCCGTTCCCCTATCCGCTACCTGGGGACGCGCCCTATAGATAGCCCAACCCATGGGGGTTTGGCCCAGTTGCAGAAAGTTATTGAATCACACGCTGATCACCATACAGTAGCCACAATTTTTTTTGGTGGGTTTTCGCCTTTGGTAAGTGCCTGGGTGGCTCATCAGTGTCCAACCACTATCCTGAACGTCTCTTGTCGCCGTAGAGGATGCAGTTTTAATCACAAGTGACGTTTCAATCCAAAAAAGGATCGTTTTGGTTGCGCAAAAGCAAAGAAGAACAGACCTCTTAACGTGACAATTTCTGTCTATCATTCAAATCGTGGGGCGGCCGTTTTTCGAGCTTCCTGACCCTTCCAATACTTTTTGAACCATCAAAAACTGCATGGCAGCTGACGCCCAGTTCTTCCGCCATCTCACGCACCTCAAGTGATGGGTCAGTCTCTATCAGTGTCCTCAAATCCTCGTCCTGGATAATTGTAGGTCGACCACTTCAATCCTCATCTTCGAGGCTAAAGTCTCCGGAACAAAACTTCGCAAACCAAACACACAGCAAAGAAACGGACGAAATTTTTTAAATAATCTAATAGACTTTTGCATCATTCTAGGAGGTCGACCTCAAATATAGATGTGGAGATTTTATTTTGAGATAGAAATACTCATTCAAGTGAAATGACAAATAAATCCTAAATAATGGAACCTTACCGCAAATTGACTAAATTATTCCAAAATAGATTAGTCACATTAGCGATTCTGCAACATTGAGTCGTTTACTTTTTCAAAGTTTAGGTAGTGCTAATTTTCAGACCCAATAAATAATTTTTCAAAAATTTTCTGGTTTCATCTTATTTTCTTAAAATCTTGTGCTGGAGAATAACAGTTACATTTCTAATGACAACATTATTTTCAGGTAAAATGGATGATGTACTGGATAGTTTTTGCCCTTTTTACCTGTATCGAAACCTTCACAGATGTCTTCTTGAGTTGGTAAGTAAATATAAGGTATATAATTGTTTGTTTGGAAAGTCACATAAGTACTGTTGAACAAAATTGTTGTTAACACAAGTACACTAAATAAGTCATTCGATATTGATACTGCGTAAAAATCTACCCCTTGTCAACCATTCCCTCTTCATTTTAACACGTACATGTTGAAAATTCCAAATGGAAATAACAGTCGAATGTTACTTTATTTGAAAAGCCATTCAATGTTGTATTCAACCCTGTAACATTTTTGATATTACAACGGTAGCAACGTCAAAAAAAAATACTTTTTTGAAGTTCATGTTTCATTTCAAAATTGAAAATGAAACTACCCAAAAAAATGTTCTTCAACAAGTGCTCAAAATGAGCGCCATTAACTTGCATACAATAGTATAAATGAGGCTCTGGTTCCTCCCTTACATTGTGAAGAATATCATCGGTTAGTAGCCTACAGTACATGATAATTTTCTCCCCTGAGTTGTCTACAGAAGTTGGCTGTGTCTCGTGGACTTTTGATTTCAACCATCTCCATAACAAAATTCAAGTGGTGTCAAATCGGGGAATCTGGATGATCATTCTGTAGAACCTCTCCTTCCAATCCTGGAAAGTAGTTATCGTGGATCTAACGCTTTGGTATTATGCAATGGGAAGAAATGCCATCGAATTGAAAAACTAACCCATTTCGCACTGAGAAATTCAATTGTATGACGTTGTTAACGCTGGCATAACTTTATTATCACCTTGCTTCAAAAATGGATGGTTCCATAATATAATTACCCAAAATCTCTGTCTGCTCAAACATTTAATTTTTGGGGATTTGGACTGGTATTTGGCATGCCATGTTGTTATTTTATTCACTTGGAAATTTTGATGATTCACCTGCCAATTGAGATCGAAGGTACATTTATCTGAGAAACATCTGTTGTACAACAAAGTTGGATTACGGTTTGCACGTTCTGTCGAAAAATGTGTTGAAAATCTGTTTTTCCATTAACCAGCTGTCTCATCCCTACGAACGACAACCCTCAGAAGTAGAAACTTGTGCTAACTAAGGATTAACGAGGTCTTACCTTTTAACGTGTGATTCATAACACGGGTTGGACGATAGCAAGTGAAAATCAAGCTTTCAGGCTGGGGCTTGAACCACCGACCGACACGGCGGTCAATTCGAGTGAGTGAACAAAGATCCCACGTCGAACCGACCAGCTACCGACCGACCTTTCAATAGGTCGCATGCATATTTTTTTCTAATTGTTCTAATCGATTATATAATGCATACAAATACTGGAAACATGAGATAGATGCCAAAAACATGAATAATTAGTCAGAAAAAAATATTGACAATTCAAACGGTCGACCATTTGGCGGGATCATGTGACGTCAAAGTACGTGTCAACAAAGCGTGTAAGAACAATAATAGAATATATAGAACAGGATATAAATAAATGTTGTTGACATGGACTTTTACGTCATCCTAAGATCCTACCAATCCCGTTGCGTTTCACCTAATTTGAATCTATCTCGTAATTTTTACGTTTTCAATTATGAACTATTTAAAATTTATAAAGTATATAGTCATGTGAACTCATTTACATTGATCTGGTATCAAAATAGATTAAGAAAAAAATTAAAATGAGCTATTTTATATTACATGCATATGACCTATTCATTCATCATTTTAATTTTGTAAGAGTGGAATTTGTGTCGATGAAGAGATGTTAATACGACTAACTCTTGATTCTTAGGACAATTTAGTCAATAACTGCGTTTTTTTCATTAAGGCATCTTGATCCTATAACTGCGATATTAATGCCTTCGTTATTGACTATTCCTGAACGGTTATCTTGTCTATTATTAAAAATAAAACTTTTTTAGGACTAAACTGTGTTTTTTTTTGTGATATAGCTCATAGTTGTAATGTCAAAAATTTTACAGAGTTAAATAAAGAACTGAAAGGCTTTTCCAATGAGGTGTCAGTAGACTATTATTCCGTTTGAAGTTTTTGACCTCAGGGGGTGACTGATAAGGAGTTGTGTCGAAAACATGAATAGATAAACTTTCTTCTTCCTGAAAAGAATATTCTCTCAATAGATTTCTATAGAAGAACTTCAAGGAAAAGTATTCATTACTTTGAATGAAAATGAATTTTCCAAGTAAGTTTATGTTGATTATCTGTGACTATTACTATTACGATAGTTCTCTCCTTTCGTATATCAATTAATAACTTTTTGAAATTTCTACTTCATTTAGAGTTATATTGAAAATATAATCACTGACATCAAATTCAAAAGCTTATACATATCACGTGAAAAATCTAGTAGAAGTGCTAGGTATGTCAACAATGTTTTTTTAATAAACTCGAAATTTGAAAATATGTGAAATGAACATTGCTTTATTCATTTTTTTGTCCAGGTTTCCATTTTACTTTGAAATAAAAATCATACTAGTCATCTGGTTGCTATCACCAGCCACGAAGGGTTCCAGTATTTTATACAGAAAATTCGTTCATCCTACTCTCAGCTCTAGAGAACAGGTAAGATTCCAGAATTTGATTTCCGATGAACTTTTCGTTACTGAATGAACCGGCCAGTCATTTGCATCACATTCAACCTTGATAGTCTGGAACTTTTAAGAAAGGTTGAGGATGTGTCTCTCTTCTATAGATACTTTCACGGAGAGTGTTAAAAGTGACTGGGCATTGTTTTGAGGTTCAACTCAATACACCTCGAACTTCACTGTTTAAGTACTTTTCCATTTGGAGAACTGCGATCTCTAGCGATTGAAATCCAATGTGAATCGCTACTTTCGTACAGGCACCGCTCTTAGAGCGCTTTAATGCTTTTTCTGTAGTGCTTGTGTTCGGTTCTTACGATAATTCTATTTGTAATACTGCTTAATCTACAGCATTGAAGACCTACGCTTGTAAAAACTTTTTTTTTCGGGTCATCTTTTCTACTAATCAAACCCAGACTTCCGCTATAATTTCATTTTCATTTTCAAAGAATACATCTCAAAAGCCAAAGAACAGAGCTACAAGCAGGTTCTCGATCTCGGTTCAAAAGGAGTTTCAGCTCAGCTGTAGCTTGTAAAAACATATTTTTCTCTTTTTTTTTTGGGTTCATGTTTTTCAACTAATCAAACCCAGACTTTTACTATAAAATATCATCGATATTTTCAAGGAAATCGATAAGTACATCTCGAAAGCCAAAGAACAGAGAACAACAAGCAGGTTCTTGATCTCGGCTCAAAAGGAGTTTCAGCTCAGCTGTAGCTTGTAAAAACATATTTTTCTCTTTTTTTTTCGGTTCATGTTTTTCAACTAATCAAACCCAGACTTTTACTATAAAATATCATCGATATTTTCAAGGAAATCGATAAGTACATCTCGAAAGCCAAAGAACAGAGAACAACAAGCAGGTTCTTGATCTCGGCTCAAAAGGAGTTTCAGCTCAGCTGTAGCTTGTAAAAACATATTTTTCTCTTTTTTTTTCGGTTCATGTTTTTCTACTAATCAAACCCAGACTTTTACTATAAAATATCATCGATATTTTCAAGGAAATCGATAAGTACATCTCGAAAGCCAAAGAACAGAGAACAACAAGCAGGTTCTTGATCTCGGCTCAAAAGGAGTTTCAGCTCAGCTGTAGCTTGTAAAAACATATTTTTCTCTTTTTTTTTCGGTTCATGTTTTTCAACTAATCAAACCCAGACTTTTACTATAAAATATCATCGATATTTTCAAGGAAATCGATAAGTACATCTCGAAAGCCAAAGAACAGAGAACAACAAGCAGGTTCTTGATCTCGGCTCAAAAGGAGTTTCAGCTCAGCTGTAGCTTGTAAAAACATATTTTTCTCTTTTTTTTCGGTTCATGTTTTTTACTAATCAAACCCAGACGTTCACTATGAAATATGAAGAATTCATTTTTTGTGTCACTTTTAGGAAATCGATGAATACATCTCAAAAGCCAAAGAACAGAGCTACAAGCAGGTTCTTGATCTCGGCTCAAAAGGAGTTTCAGCTCTTATGCAAACAGCTCTAAAGGTGAGTCCTTTTTAGAATATTTAACTTGGTTTATTTTTCTGTGTGCTATTTAATTTCCGCCTATCACACAATGAATGGAACAAAAGATATGTGAGTTGTTTTTATTTGGATGATTCCATTCCAAGGTTGACAGACCATGGTCATTTTCTAGTAAGAACCTGACCGGTGACTAGCTTTAGCCACCGAGGCCGGTTGATTGGTTGATATTGGCGTCGTCGGATGGTCAGAACCAAAATTATCACCTAACTTACTAATTGAACCCATCAGCAAGGAAAAGCATTCCCAATACCTTCAGGTCACCTGTAGACTGGAATATCGTCTACGGTAGTCGTAATGATATATTGAAGAGAATTCAGTTGATTGGTCGATATTGACATTGTCGGCTGTTCAAAGTGACCGCAGCCTTCCCATATGAATGCATATGTGAGTCATTTACCTGATGATACACTAGATTCAGCCATGCAGGGCTTTTTCGCCTCTAGTTTAGGTGAATCACTGTTTAATTGAAAGGGTGTGCTGGCAGATCCTTGAGATTTCCTGCTCTTGAAGAGCCGATAAGTCGCTTCCTGGTTGCACCACCCAGCCTCCTAGGCTTTTCAAGAGTTGAAGGACTGAGAAGATCTTGCTCTTTATCCGATGTTACAATGATGATAGCCGGAGTAATTCAGTTAATGTCTTGTGTAGACTCAGGATCGGATTATTCGGTTCTACGATTAGCTACGGAAAGGAGATCCATCGCTACAAAGCCAGAGGCTTTTTAGGATGAGAGGGTTTTCCGTTGGGGACAGAGTTGGCTCTAGAGTCATACACCCTTCGGCTCGCATAAACACACCTTAGGATGAAGGTTAGGATTGTTTAGTCAACGTCCATCTCTTCTGTAGACTAAGGATCGGATTAGTTGGTAACTTCATGGTCCATGAAGGATTCTACGAGTTGCTACGGAAAGGAGGTCGATCACGACAGATCCGTNATTTTTTTAAAGTTCTTAAGGTTATGTTGATTGAAAGTTCCTTAGAAGCGGAAAGGTGTATTTTTTGAAATATTTTATAATATTAGGATGTGATTAGCGTATAATTATTTTAGGATGTGATTTTTATGAAATAGATTTACAAATAAAAGAAGTCGTAGGTATATTGCATTTCATTTCACAATATTCAATTTTTGGCACTTGACAGAGAAAACGACAGTCCCCAAAATAAAAAAAGCAATCACAAAATGATGGATTATACTTTTTGTATTGAAACTGAAGGTACTACTTGGAAATTCCAACTTCCTGTGCCTCTTCCTCGTTGCGACTGACAATTTTTACTGCAACTAATGTTCTTTGAATACATAAGTCACAATTAACCTTTGCTGAATTAACTAAACATAATTCCTATATGATTTTCTCACAATCTTTCTCTGGAATTCACCCGAAACCTTGGCAACACACAATTTGATTTAATGGGCTGCTAAGTGTGCACTGCATGGCTTTTTCACCTATTCACCAAGTAAGTATCATTTTTAATTTGCACTTTTCTTTATAAGACTTTAGAGTAGTTGAAATTACGTTCTAATAATGTATAACTGCCACACTAGTTTTTTTGTCGATTATTTTTGTCAACATGAAAATTGTGTGATCGGGATTCGATGAAGTCGACGAAGGCCGTTTTTGCCTGGTTCTGTTTGACGAAGGTTCTACAGGTGAGAAAATTATCGACGTGCTTAAAAAGATGGTATCTGAAAATAATATTATGAATATAGTGGTCTAACTGAAAAACAAACCTTGTTCAGTTATTGATGAGATACCTCCAAGAACTTTCAAAATTATTTGTGATTTTGTTTCAGCTTCTCTTACACACTTGTCAATTCATCACTGCAGTCAGGAAAATTTACAAATCTGATGAAAATTGCTGTTGTATTTCCGCTGTTTAAAAAAGGCGACCCTCCTATATTAGACAACTACAGGCAAATTTCCTTACTGTCCACTTTGAAAAATACTAGACAGCTGCTTATAGTATAATAATAATATATCAACATGGTTTTCGAAAAAAAAAACGACTCTGTGGCATCTCAATTCTGTATATTCCGAACTTGATCAGAATAAATATGTCGGCTGAGTTATATTCAATCTCTCAAAACCTTTCGACAGTATAGATTTAACAATTGTGAGGAATAAATTTGGATCACCTGGACATTAGAGAAAATATGTTGGATTGGAAGAACTCTTACTTGCAAATTGCATCTCTTCTTATAAAGATGGGAGCAACCTGTCTAGAAGTTGTAATATTCCATTCATATGATGCAGACTTCAGTAAATAAGAAAAAAATAAATGATTATGTTATGAGTAAGTCGTCACCCAATAAAAACTTTGTGAATTTGGTTTCAATAAATTGAAACCACATAATTCGTGGTATTGTGCTTGTGTTGTCAAGCAGGGCCGGATTTGGGAGAGGACAGGCGAGGCTCCTGTCCTAAGGCCTCTACAACAGAGGGGCCCTCACAATAGAGATAAATAAAATATCCAAATTTTGACGGGCCAGCCACTTTTACATTTTTATCCCAAACAATGTTTTTAGTGTACATACATAATAATATTGTACTTTATATTAATTGTTGAAATAGTTTTATTTTTTGGCAATACATTTTTGAAAGAGTTGACAAAAAATTGTGAAATAAACTAAGGGCCTGGCCTCCTTTCTTTCGTCGTCCCAGGATCTTTTTGAAATTATGTATTGAATTTTATCAATTTATTTTATGAATGGAGAAGAGATTGGATAATTCTCAGTGCACTATTTCGCAAGTTTTGCAGGCTGTAAACTTCATTTTGATTCAGCAATATTGTAAAATAAGTCAATGTGGATGTGATCATATGAGAATACTATAAATTACAGTTTTTGACAAATTTGCAAATTGACAGGATCATCTCTAAAGGATAGTCATTTATAGGTTTTGAATCAAATACGAAGGGCAAATTGATAAATTTGACCAGAAATATCACTTGTCAGTCAATTTCGAAAGATATTGATTCAACGTTTATATAATTATTTGGCAAACTTAAAGTTTTCTATAAGTATTCGAGAAAAGGCATGTCCCGTCATCCTTTTCCAATTCGAATTAATTTTTTTTTTGTTTTTGAACAAGGCAGAATTTATGAGGCGTACCTTTTACTGACAAATTGAATTTTATTCAAACGCAGTTTGGTAATTTCACCTTAATATTCGATTTATTCGAGAGGGGGATGATTTCAGAGGAATTAAAACACATACATGCCAGGGGTAACTGTTGTATTCTATTTCTATTAAATTTTTGCAGATATTTCTTCGGAAACATAATTTGCATAGTTAAAATTTATTCCGCTGCCTCCAATAATATCTACCTAGTTATTCAAACGTGTCTTTCATCACAGTTGTCTTCTTATTATTGAGGCACCAGTCAATCTAATAATAACACTGATGATCTTCAAACGAAACTCAACCTCTAACGGAAGCAAAAAACTCTTTGGAAGGTTCTGGCGTTGAATTTGGTCATTATTACGCATTGGTCAAAGACGAAACGGACTGGTTTAAGTTTGACGATAGTCGTGTCACGAAGTGTTCTGGCGATGCATTGAATTGATTGGAGCCTCTGGAGACACCCTACAGTTTAATAAGAGAGAGGACATTGGCGGATCAAGATCTTCAGATGATGTGGTGCTGCAGCCAAAAAAACAAACTCGCCAATGGATTCAATGACGTTGACCCGGAGCGCCAATAAATTTTTGTTTTTTCATAATTTCATTATTTGTATTACTTTCTTCTTCAATGAATTCAGTAACTCTCATTCACAAAATGCGTGTTTTCGAAAAACATGTTGTAACTTATTCACAAAATGCGTGTTTTCGAAAAACATGTTGTAACTCAAAAAAGATAATAGATATTGATATGCGGATCTACCACTACATTAGTAGTGGTAGATCTGGAAAAGTACCCAAATCATAAATTTCAAATAGAACCATGCATATTTTTTTCTATCGTTTTATCGGATATGAAATTCTCTATTCAACCATATAACACATGTGTCAATTTCCATTCAAAATGGCGGCGAATGAGCCATATTCTGCTAGTTCAATATGACGTCATCTTTTGAAATATTGTCAAACAACTTGATGTAGGGAGAAACAAACGACGAAATTTGTCCAATTTTTGAATGAAAATTTAAAAATTGAAATATTTCACTAATCCACATTAGATTGCAGTAGTATAATTAAACTCCATCCAAGTACTTTCCAATTGGATCTGATGTTCATGATTGTATCGAAATATTAGTTGTTTACTATATTATCTATAGTAAACAACTATCTTTCGATAGTGCAGACACACAATATATCAATAGATTTTCAGATTGTTTCAATTGTAATTCCATGCATCACTTTTATTTGAACCTCTAGGCAATAGTGAAATTACAATTATTTTTAGGGCGGTGGCGGTATAGTAAACCAACTCAAAAGAAGCTACAGCCTCAGCGACCTGAGCGACACTGTCCAAGAAGATGTTGCCCAAGACGAGACTGATGACGTAGTCATTACCGATCCGCGCCTCGTGAGGCGTCGACGTAGTCCTCAGCGATCATCTTCTTCCACTTCGGCCATTTACTTTTCCGAAGTGGATGTAAGGTCCGATCGCATAGCTTCGATACAATCAGCCGAAGACATTTCTTCCGGCTACTCTAGCAGTGAAGGGCTGTATGCTGGCGGTGTTCCTAAATTGGCAGCTAGGGAGGGGTTACATCGAGCCGGTTCTCTCACCAGATCTCGTACCACTAGAGTTACCAGGTCTACTGTTCCTAGAAGGGCTGGCGGTAGCGATGTAGGTATTTTTAAGTCATAAGTTTGGTAATGAATACACGAATCTTATGGAAGTTTTGAATCGAATAAGTTGGACTCATATATCGATAATATCACTTTGAAAGTATTTTTCTTTATAATTTGAACGGTTTGTAGATGAAAATACGAAACCAGCAAAGTTATTATCTAGATATTTTTGTCCGGACATCTTGGATGAGTACATATTTTTCGATCATGCGTCGATAAAAAACCTTCCAATTAATATAAGTCGATGTACAACTGGTTTTTCACAAAAAGTGGATTTATCGGGTTTTGCGCGATTACTAGTCAAATAACATACTAAGTTTTTTTTTATTTTACAATTGTGTAGCATATGAGGAATATACGAGTACGTATCCTTGATTTGATCCAATTTTTCGTAAGATTCGTAGGTATGATTCATTTCTATTTTCATTCGGGGCACAAGTACTAGTTAAGTTGGTCATTTTTGTGATATTCTTAATTAGGTACTTGACTCTTGTTCTCAATACTCCTGTATCTGTTTATACCAATTGTTTTGAAGGAAAGCGATGAAAACGAAGTATACGAAACGAATATCATTTTTCATAACGATAAGGGGAAGAACATAGAACGACTTCCAGCTGACAAATCGGAATCTTCAAGTGAGGCAGAGTTTTTGGACTCGTTAGACTCTATGCATGATGATTTAGGTGAAGAATTTAACATCACTATCGATAGTAAATCGTTAATAACTGCATGTGATGAGAGTCAGTTGAACCTAGTTACAGTTGAAGGGGATCTAACAAAAAATAGTACATCTCCAGTATCTAGAACAGATGAATTAACGATTCAGAGCCTTGAACCCAACACTAGCTTGCTGGAGATTTCAGGAACTGTTGAGACATTTTCTAATTTCGTTCAGAACTTGATAGACACAAAAAATGAAACCAATTCGGACAAAACAGTTGTCGATACAACTGCAGCTGCTAGCGAACACATTAAGGATTCACAGTTCAGGGGCATCGTGGATGATGAAAGCAGAGGAACCAAAAAGGCTTCAGTAGATGATGTCCAAAATAAAACTGCTGCTGCTCCAGCCGAGACCTCTGAAGTAAGAAAGGGGAAATACAACAAAAAAGCTGCTCCCCCACCACCAACATCTGATTCTCCATCTGCCATCAAGGCAACTCTGATATTGAAACCAGGTGTCGTCAAAACTTTCGGCTCAGCTGAGTCTCTCTGTAAGGAAATATTTGTAAGCTCGCCAAAATCTAAGCGACGATCAGCGGTTAATAGGTCGCCTTCCTCTCTTTCTTCTACTTCTTCTGATTTGTCTAGAAGCAAGCACTCTTTCGCAAAGTTCATTAAGTTTCCGAAGAAGATTGGATTTTGGAATAAAGACGAGTTATCTGTGGAGAAACCTGCCGAAAAAAGGCCCTCTTGGCATAGTTATTTAAGGCAGGACGAACGACCTTTGTCTGATTCCAAACTGCAATCCAAAAGCGATAACAACCTGTTGCAAATTCCAGATGTTTCTTTGCATGGTGCTAACTCACCCAAGAATGGTAGTCGGCTTTTTCCGAGAACCTTGACCGATTCTCCATTGGCGTGCAGAAGGCTGAAAATTATAAGAGGACATGTTGAAGATATCGACTAAGAAACAGGCATGACGCTTTGAGAGTTGAAGAAAGTAATGATTTGATTGTGTGCTGTTGGACTGACTAATAATATTTCTGATTTTTCATGGCAGGCTTTAGATTTTTTCTAGTAGAAACTTTTACAATTGCAGTTTTTCTTGGTGGAATTCGGAAACCATACAGAACAAAGGGATGGATTGTTGGAAATAGACAAAGTTGATTTTTGGCATAATGAAGTTTTGATAAATATTAAAAAAATAATTTAAACTCGTTGGTACTTCCTTGTGCTGGAACGTTAACTTGGAAAAAGTTTTACACAAAGTCAGTTTTTCCCTATGGGCATGTCGAAAGATTTGTGGTAAAACTTAGGGTTTAGGTCCCAAACAAATCCATTGAATTCATGTGATGATTGCCAGACCAATGATCACTTATGGTACAATTGCCTGGTAGCCGAAGGCTTTACAGAAAACGGCTCAGGCGAAGCTCTTTGGCCATCAGTGGTGCCATCAGTACTACACCGTCAGCGGCCATGGATATCCTTCTAGATCTACCTCCTCTCCACATTTTTCTGGAGAGAGAGAGAGGCTAGATGGACTGCATATAGACTTGTGCACATTGCCAATTGCACAAATCAATCAAAACAACAGACTGTTGGTTGACACTGGAAGTCACAGCATTCTGGAAATGACCTCTGAATTTATGTCAACTACGAACTGCCTTATAAAGTACTGTGGCCGAGTAGAGGGGACTGGATCCTCCGGCAGAAGGAGATATTAAAAGCAGATAGTTGTTGGTTCACAGATGGATCAAAAACACCTTCAGGTTCTGGTGCAGGTGTTTTCAGTCGCACACCCAGGACCTGTATTTCAAGCGGAAATATATGCTACTGAATTGTGTGCGGAGAGATTGGTAGAATCGAACCTCATGCACAAGTCAATAAAAATTTTCTCGGACCGTCAAGCGGCGTAGGAAGCTCTTGGCTCCTACCGTGCAACGTCTAAATTGGTAGCAAATTGCCAAAAATGGCTCTCCCTACTAGGAAGACTCAACAAACTGTCTCTGGTCTGAATTTCTGGCCACACTGGCCTGGAAGGCAATGAGGCTACTAAATCTCTTGCAAAAGAGGGTGCTGCAAGCAGCTTCATCGGACTAGAACTTCGGCATCGCTTTAGGCTTTGCCATACAAAGATTGAACATGTGGATGGCAAAAGGATTTATGGACTTTGTGCCTGCCCCGCTGGGGACCAAATCAGGTTTTTAGAGTTCGGCAGAACCGTACTCGTACCATCTGACCTGAAAGTCCACTCACCATACAAACTATTCGGCTTCGTTGAGAAACTGGGTTTATTTGGTCGAGTGTGAATATAGGTGTGAGCCACAATAAACTCTTGCGAACCTAACCTAACCTAACTTTCTTGTTACATTTTTCACCATGGATTTGAAGAAAATAACGATAACTCTATAAAGGGTCACAGTTTTTGTTTTGTTCCTAATTATCTATCCCAGTATACTTTACAATTATTAGTTATTCTCTTGGTTTTCCGATATTTCATTCTTTGTCGCTGTGTAAGCTTCATGACACTAACAGAATGATGGGGGCTGTGGAAGCCCTAGAAACTGGAAACTGTCATGTGTATTTGAAACAGAATTATAAATGACTCAACTTTTTCTTCACTCCAAAAAAATGCATATGCAGAATGCATACAACATTGAAAATACAAGTAAATTTCCAAGTTATCATCCTTCATTTTTCCTTCCATTTGAAGGTTTCAAAAATATAAATGAGTCAAGTGAGCTATTCGCTAAATTACTACCATCCTTAATTCAGTTTCTCTTTTTTCTGGAATGAGAGATTTCAGTGTCTGTCTCATACTGTTTTGTGCTGAAATTGTTTGTGTGGTAACTGTAATCTTTTTATTATTTTCAATGTTATCAATAGAATGATGTTTTTTAGGAAAGTGCTACTCTGCCACGGGTTAAAAAATCGACAAAGAAGAAGACCCTGTGAGTCCCACCATGAGCTTGATGGGAAGATTCCTAGTAATATTAATGAAAGTTTTCAATCAATTTACTTTTAGTTGATAGACATTTTCTGTGAAGGATGACATTTTGTACTTTTTATCTGTATTTGGCCAAAGTTTTCCACTTTTCTGTAACATAGTAGTAGAATAATTAATTTTAACTAGCAACTTCTGCTCTTAATTTTTTCAAAGAAACCATAAATAACATACATCAATATCCATACAGCTTTCAAATGAAAAATTTGCCCATTTTAGTTTAAACGGATATTCTTACACGAAATAATATTGTATTTTTTGAGATAATATTGAACGGTTGCGGAAGCGTGGCTTACTTTTTTCATTTTATACGGGTATTGATTCGTAACCATATTATTATGATATTGTGGCAAATGTCGCTTGCTAAATTCGTTGTGATAGTTATGGCAGCTTCCGCGACAGTTTACATGGAGTATATTACATTAACAACCTATTTATTGTGTAGCCAATTATTGCCAAGTTTTAAATGACTGGACGGAACTGTTTGGAACAAATAAAGACTATAAGATTCGTTCTTATATATTTTCTTAATTCATCAATCTGCACTTTTTAAACAACCTCAGAATTTTTTTTCTAGATGCATTAGCTTGTTTCCTCCCAGATTCATCAGCTTTACTTCTTCAAAGTAGTATTTAGAAGCGTTGTAAGTTGTAAAGAGGTCCAACATGCTTTTACGCCTCAGCACCAAGGCCTACCAAGAGCCTGATAGAAATGAAATAAAAGACACGAAATTCTGGATAAGACTATTTATAGTAATATTATGATTTGTTTCGCCTTCATTCTTTTCAGCTCGTCATCCAGACAGCTACAAGCCAGTTTCGTTACTATCTAAAATTATGTAAAATGTCATAAATGAGCATATTTTCAAATATTTTGATGACTTCAATATCTCAAACAATCTGAACTTCAAAATACATTCAAATTCAGTGACAAACTTCTGGTACTGAGCAAATAACTTGGGCCATCTGAGTGAAAACTGAACTTTTGGCCCCACATTGGGCGCCAAAACTGTAGCGATATTTTTTTTCATGAATAATGGTGAATACTCTGTTTTTCTAACTCTCAGCCTTCAAAAGAATTTGATGACAGACATTCTCAGAATCCTACGAAGCACGGATTTATTTCTAGCGAGGAAGCTACTTTGTTAGCGAAATGCGTATAGAAATTAAACAGCTTTCAAAAATTGTGTAATTATTATCGTGGTCAACATTGAATCTCGAGAAGCAGAATAAATATTCCATGCCATTTGAAAAAAGTCTGATCTAGTTTCCCCAATGGATGAGTTACACACATCAAGAAATTGTTTTCGTCCTGTCTCTTTTTAACAGTGATAACTAAATTGATTCAGTTCCTTTCTGTGTTTTGGTCGAAATAAAATAGTACAACCCCCCCTTACGAAGACGCCATCTCTGGGATCGACTAAGAACTCACTCATATGAACAGTAGAAAGTTTAATTTTTAATGTCAAACTTGCCGTTTTTCAAACTATTTGAAATGTATCGATGAAAATTTGAGGTCTTATGGTAATACTATTTATCAAAGCTGCAATAAATATGAGAACCACATACAAGTATGTAGGCCGTGGTCGAATGGAACCCGAAGCAACTAACGTTTCTTCTGTTCCTACGGTATGTCCTCTGACTGCGTTAACGAAGGTTATATCTTTGAGTCTCATCGACGACTGACTGACGAGCTACGTATTCACTCGTATTTATAATTTCAGAGGGTGGCGGAGGTGATGGTGGTGGGGCTGATGATGGAAATAGTATAGAGGACGAAGACGGGGTGTCCCTGTAGATAACCACTCCTTCTTAGTCTGCACTTTTGCTGGATCGTTCTGATCTGAGATGTTACTAGATTGTTCTGATTGGTGCACGTTGTTGACAGGTATGCTACTGATGGAGGCCGATCAGAGTGATTTTTAGTCCATTCCTAGCTTTATTGAGAACTGGATGCCACATTCTGTTAACCCATATACCTTTTTCTTTTCTGTTGAAATTGTTGGGATGGTCATAGATCTCAATGACCTCCCTAGCGTACGTAGTAATGCATTGAATTAGATAATACAGCAGCTTTTTCGTATTTCATTACATGGTCTGCTTCTGCTAGGATACGTTCTGCAATTGCGAATTCCTCCGGTTGCATGAGGCAACAGCTACGCGTGTGTTCTTGTATCCTGGTGTTGATACTGCGTTTGGTAGTTCCGAGGTGTGAACTGAGACACAGAAACAAGGAATGCTGCAAACACAGATGGATGTCAAAGGCTCTCTTTTGTCCTTGGCCAATCTGAAAGTGTTACGTAGTTGATTAGGTTACTTGTGAATGGTCCTAATGTTGACGCAGAAAAGTCTTGACAGCTGTATCCTGATCGAAGTTTGAGTATTTCTTCCAGGATGTAGACCACGTTCGATTTCTTGCGCTGTAAAACGTTTGGCATGCTGAGCTTGGTCTAGATGGCAAAGTTCTTTTCAAAAATATTCACTTCACAAATCCTGGTAGCACGATCATTGTACATTTTTGTCCTGGATGTTGGTTCGAGTTCTTGTTGATAAACCGATCAGTACGAGCAGGTTTGCGATAAACTGTGTTACCAAGTTTTTCGTCAGCTGCAATAATATATCAGGTTAAATTTTTCATTTTTAATGTTTGGGAAATTGACAGTAAGAACGAAAAAATATCAATATATCTGTCATCAATAAAAAATGAACAAACTGGAATATTTGGAAACATTTATCAAATGTTATGTTTTCAATTTTTCTTTGGACATTGATTGTTCATAAATATTTTTAAAAAATATTTGCGTAAATAAAAGTTCTTAGCAAAAATCTTTTCCAAAACCTTCAAAAATTACTACACAAAAGGAAAACAATCCATTCAAATAGAAAAGGGGATACTTTTACAAGAGATTAGGTCTGTGTTCTTCATTATTAAACAAAAGGTTTTTTTTCCAATTTGTATCTGAAAAAACTCAGAAACATGATATGCATATCTATATCGAGTGCTTCTTGTGGTTTTTATCGATGACAATTCCGATTTCCTCCACAACAAATGACTTTCGTTCAGTATTTGTAGTGATTTTCTTTATTCCTTTCTTTGGAAATTTCCCGTATGTTTTGTTTAATGATTGAGAGAAAATAACAAAATTAAAATCCAGGTTTCATCATCGAAAAAGTAAAGTAAGAATCTAACAAATGATTAATTGAAAGGAAAATTGCAATAAGATTCTTCTGCAGCTGGATTATCTGGTGTTGATGTTCAAAGATATAAATATTGGTGCTACAGTTTCAGGAGATGGAGTTTTTTTGGTAAATTTGATGCTCTTTAAGAATTTTTTAATCTTCAATATCTGCAACAGTTTTTGAGATATTTCATTCAACTAAATTTCAAACTAATTCTTTATGCAACATGGCTCGAAATAACTTTTGGGAAATGACACTCCTGAACCTAATGAACGTGAAAATTTTGTAATATGGACTATTATAGAAAAGGGATTGAAGAAGAAATGAAACAAAAATCCTCTTTTATTGATATGATTCACAATTACATAATAAAGTTTCCATCATGCGAAAGTTTAAATATTATATAGTTATAAATATACACATTTTCTTCACATATATATCTTCAACAGAAATTCAATATAAACTTGGAAGTCTAAAACCCTTTAAGGATAACCTGTAATCCAGAAAATAAATGAACTGACTGGTAGATTATTGACAAATACCCCTACTTTCAAAAAATAATGCAGTGATAGAGGAAAAAAATAGCTTCTATTCAGAAAATATGCTTGCTGTCACTGTCAAATTATACTATACTAGAATTTCTTGTTCCTTTGAAATATTGTACATCGATTTTCTGCAGAAATGCAAAGGGCTTTTTCCTTTGCCAATTTTAGAATTAAATTTTTAGGATACGTTCCTAAATGTCATACTATGAAACTGATAGTTATTGAGTTGATTCGCATTGAAAATTATTACTATCAAGGTGAAGATTCTGGGCCACCTTAAACTTATTAGTTATTGTGGTAATACTTTGATACTTATAATGCACTGTTTGGAACCTTTGGAGTAGTAATGAATATCACTGAAGTTTTTTTTCCCAACACCAAACCGTTATTGTAACACCTCGACACGTGTTTCGATCACCAAGTGATCATTTTCAAGAGGAAGATCAAACTCAGTTTGATCTTGGAGTTTTTTCCCAACACCAAACCGTTATTTTAACACTTCGACACGTATTTTGATCACCAAGTGATCATTTTCAAGAGGAAGATCAAACTGAGTTTGATCTTGAAGATGAAGGTGATCACCAAGTAATCATCTTCAAGAGGAAGATCAAACTCAGTTTGACAGGCCAAAAACCCAAGAAGAAGTAAATGCCGGCTCATACAAAGGCAGAACAAAGTCGCAAATCGCACTCAGCCTCAGAAAGAACGCAACGAACAGAAGTTATTTGTTGCTTCAGGCAGAAGCAGCCATCACTGAACAATGCGTAGGAGAAATGCTAAGGAAGAAGGCTTAAAACAAATCTATTGCCATTCTCTCCGACAGCCAGGCGGCAATTAAGGCTTCTACCAACACAAAGGCAATGAGGAGGCCAATGCTTTAGCCCCTGAAGTTGCATCCAATGCCATGATAGGTGCGGAACCTTTCTGTGGGCTAGCGAAGACAATTATTACAGTGTCTATCAATTTGTGGATGCAAGTCAAATTGCTAAAGAGTATTACTAATAGGGCCACCCTAGCCTGGAGACCTGAAAAAGAGAGACACAAGGGCAATGAGAAGGCCGGTGCCTTCGGCCCGTGAAGTTGCATCAAATGCCATGATAGGACCAGAACCTTTTTGTGGGCTGACGAAGACAAGTATAAAGGTATCTGTCAGTTCGTGGATGCAAGAAAAATCGCCAAGGGGCATCACCAATAGGGTCACTCTAGCTGGATACCCTGACACGAAGGATACAAGGGTAATAAGAAGGCCGATGCTTTAGTCCCGCGAAGGTGCATCCAAAGTCATGATAGGTCCGGAACCTGTCTGTGAGCTGGCGAAGACGAATATAAAGACAATATCAATTAGTGGATGTAAGCCAAATCGTTGAATTGGTGAAACAAGCTCCCAGGAATGATACGGGCGAAAAAGTTCATGAAGGAACCGCTAACTACCGAGACAATTTTATTTGACAACCGGCAGATAACATTCATTGATTGGGACTGATTGTTCAGGCATGTTTCCCAATGCCTAAATAATTTTTCTTTTCATCTCTTCATAGTTTAAAAAACAGATTTGTTAAAAGAATATCCATTAGAATTTTCTGCTTTCGAAAGAATCTCTGGATAGTTGAACTGACTCCTCTGATAGGAGAGAACTATGAGTTGACAACCTAAAGAGCAGTTATTTATTGGTAGCCGAAAATAGTTTTGATTATGAATTGTCTAGGGACGGTTTTCCAACGTACTGCTAAGAAACTCAGCTGTCAGCTAAGTCGATAGCAGCTGATTGCTTGTCTCGTTGAACCACTCTATTGCGACTTAATCTTCTAGCTAGAACTTAGCTGCTGATTGAGAAACTGACCCAAAGAGAAAACTGCGAGCTCAACTGATTGGCTTCTGAAGCGAATTAGTTTGTCAAACCAAATCGGACACCAATCTCAATTCCTATAATGAAATTTGTTTTCAATGTAAATAAATGAAGATATGACATTTAGGGAACAAATCCAAATGGGAAAATTAAAGCAAAATAAAGGCTCCACTGGCAAATATACCCAACTTATCCCACCAAAGAGTGACAAATTCAGAAAAAACGATTCAACCTCCCTACTGTATCCCCTCAACGAAGGCGGTATCATCCAGCGTGTGCAACCAGTTGAAAATCATCATATTTCTCTCGTATTTGGACAGTGGTTTTCCTCTTTCCCTCTCTACATCCCTGATGGTCAGAGGAAGATTTTTCCCTGCCCTCTGCTGGGCTACCCTCAGCATGGCGGCGTTGGTGCTACTGGAGGTCGTGGGACTTTTGCTCGGAGTGGGACTCGAGCCGGGTACAGTCAAACGGGACGGAGCGACGTTCGCGCTGTTCGGAGCTGGTTCTGAACCGAGGCTCGCCGTAGCGGTGGATGGTGTGACCTCCAACCTGTCAAGGTTGAATTCACTCTGCGAGAGGCGTTCTAAGGCTTTGTATGTCGTGAGAAGTCTTCTTCGTATGTAGTTTTGGCGCACCTGTAAAGATTATGAAAAGGTTAGATACATTTGGGGTAGTTTTGGGTAGTTTTTTTTAATTATCAGTCGATGACCGGCGTGATAGCGTGTTCCACTGTGTGAAAAACTAGCCCGCGCGTTTGCTTCTTGTACTTTAGAACAGCTTTCTTCTGCCCTAGATAAGAAAATGGGTCCTGAGGTGCTGTGCTACTGTGACAATGGAGAGCCTCAAATGGCAGAGCATGTGATGGAGAGATGTTTGGATGAATACAGGATTGGAGGGCATGAATGGAAAGAGAACATGGAACGGACGAATGGAGAAGTGACACTGAGGGACGCGAACAATTATTAATGTTTATTTCGTTCTTAATAAACATAGAAGACAGAAAAAGAAGTTTTCTGGATACTGGATCATCGTAATTATCTCCATAATTCATAATTTAGTATACATATTAGACTTTAGTTTTTGCCTTACCTCATCCATTATTTTGATTTCATTACTACTCAGTAACTAATGATTGATTAAATCCACTTCAACTTACTTTTTTGTTAACGGATCTGATCAAGTCAGCTGCGGTGAATGTGGGAGGAGGGGGTGTACTAGCTGGTTGCTGAGTATTACTACTCGATTGCCCCCCATGAGGCGAAGGCAACTGCGAAGTTGACGCTATATCACCTACTGCTACCCAGGTCGAACAGGATCTGTGAAATAATTAAAAACTCAATCACTATATGTGTATTTATATCTCTATATTCGGTTTGTTCAAAGGGTAAGTTCCGAGTGTCACTATTTTACGAGTTTGAAGGCCGTGGATTTTTGAAATGTCTTCTTGACGTTTCGCTGGCGCGAGTGGCTAGCTTCTGATGTAATCTACGATGACTGGATATTACGGCTGCGCAAGACGTATTCATGTCCAGGTACAGGTGTGCTAAAACCTGTACCTGGATTGCGCAAAGCGTGTTTATGTTGACCCAGGTAGTCTGATGTGGTGATACCTGTACCAGAGCATCTAGAGGAGTGACTGGAACATCTTCAATAACCTGGAGATCGAATGGATACAGTATACCCGAGATCAACAAAGCCATGAAAACTTGAAGAATTCCACGGTTTAAAACGCGGAGGAGGCTCAGAGGGTTGCACGCACGTATCTACCATATATCCCTAGGGTTACAGATAGAATTGGTAAACTTTCGGGGAAACACAACATCAAAACGGTTTTCAAACCCACCAAGAAGATACTGTAACGAATCTGAAGCCGCCAATGACCAGTACTCCGGCCGAATCATGTAACAAACACATGACATCACCGCGAAAGAATGCAGTCGGCAACCGCCGGTAAAACTCTAGTTGATTACCGAAACGACTACAGATTTCTAGAAAGAACCGTTGCGTTATATAAGAACGGCTTCCCGACCCAAGAGGGCAGTTCAGAAAGTGAATCGAGCGGGTAAACAAGAAATTCAAATAGTGGAAATAAATTAAGCTTTAGTTGCTGAGTGTTGTAAATAAATTAGTTTGTGATTAGTGAAATATTGTTGGAAAGAAATTTGTTTAAGACAGTTAATTCTTTAATTTGTTGCAATACAGCAAAGCCCCAGGTCAGCTAAAGACGAAAGAGACCCACTCTCAGCAGCAGGGGTTCATCGCATAGATATAAATGTGAACCACCAAAAGATACATGGGAACAAGATTGAAGGAGCATGAAAGATAATGCAGAGTAGGCCAAACGGACAAGTTGGCTGTGGCGAAAGACGCACTCAGGGTTCTGTTTGAAAACACAAAACTAATTGCCCCCAACCAGGGATACCATAGCCGACTGGTACGGGAGGCTATAGAGATCCACAAACACACGGATAATTTCAACAGAAAAGAAGAAGCGGCCGCAAAAGCCCCAACTATTTTGGTTCTAAGTTTGATCCCTTATTTAAGATGTCGGTTGCATATAGTATGAATATTTTGAAATCCATAATTTCTCCATACCATACCTCGGCATACCCCAGGGTAGTATGTTATGTCCATTGCTTTTTATTATTTACCTAAATGATATCAATCACATATCTGGATCACACTGTATAAATCTTTTTGCAGATGATACATTGGTTTTTTGTATATGTTGAAAATATTCATTCAGAGTGTCCCCCTTGCAAATAAAGTTGACCTGTCTGACCATTTTTTCATATTATGTACTGGAAGGGAGATATTGAGGGTGGGAAGTTTTCAAATTGACACACTGTATTCAGCTATCTAAGAACTCTCAAAGGCAGCATACGTATGAAATTGAAAGTGACGAAGTCACCATTTCTGTATGAATTAGTTACATGAAATACCGATAGAGGCTCAGAATTTGATGTATATAGGATATATTCATGATAGCTACCACCATTGTCCACAAAAAAGTACAGTGCTACATTTTCTTGACCGTTGGCTGGTGACATTCCCCCTAAGCAAAGAAAGGTAGAACAACGAGAAAATAATTGTCAAGGGAGTAACGGGTATTTCTCGAACATAGTCGCCATGTCAATAAGGAAATAAAAATTCAGAGGGTGTCCATGTGACCTAAAATACACCGATCAATCAGTGTATTTTGCCCATCAATCAGTGTATTTTGAAATTACACATAAAAATGGTCGAACGCACCTTGAAGTTTGGTCCAATCTCGCATTCTCCAAAAGGAATCCAGATCTTTGCAGCGAGTTCAACGCTAGATCTGACACAGCGTTTCGCAGACTAGTCACGCAATGTCCATCTTCAGGTGAAGGTAATTGGCTGATATCGCTCGTACTGAAGCTTTTTTGGAGACCAACAGCTGATGATAAGGCCGCACAACTACGAATCAGATCAGTCTCTTCTTCGAACCATAATATTTCAGGTATATCAGCGGGTCTGTGAAAAAAAGAAAGGCGTCTTCAATGATTTGAAGTTTTCAGAAGTATGGTAAACATTGCCAATTAGAACAGAATATCTGGTACACAGATCACAGACTAGTCCAACATAAAGGTTTTGTGTAATTTTGGCCGTTGAAGTTACATGCAGATAATGTACCGTAAGATTCTTTATCTTAAATAGTTCTGAATAAAAGTTCGTGATAGCATATAACATACCACTTATGTAGTAGCCACTATTATGCAAAATACTGAGCCATTCATACAATTAAATTGGATACTTTTTTATAATGCACATTTTAGAATATCTGTCAAATTCTTATTTAAATTGATACAATTGTCTTTTTAAGTATTTAATATAGATTAACTTTGTCTTTTACACTAAGTAATTTGAACGATTCGTTTGAAAGTTATCACGATAAGATTAATTTGACGCAACACAGTAAGCCAGTGCGCGTCGCGTCTACTGTAAGACAACGGTGGACGAACCGTGGGGGTAGAGGGGCGGTCTAAGCAAAATAAAAATATGAATTACTAGCTGTTGCCCGATCTTCAATTATCGTACAGCCGAAGCTACTGAACCTAAAATCTTGAAATATGCAGGTAGGTTCTTTGTAGATTGTATATGAGCATCAAGAAAGGGAATCAGGATTTTCCACCCCCAAGGGGGAAAATAGGGGTTCAAAGTTTTGGGTTAATGAAAAAATATTGGTAACTATTTGTTTAAAATGGTCTGTCACGAAACTTAATGTGACAAAGTAAATTATATGCTCTATGCGGACGAAACTGCGGGTAACAACTAGTTACTTATATATAACAGTATACACTTTCACTTTGAAAAGAAAAAATGAGAGAAAGATCATCAAATGATTGTAAGAGAAAGATTTCGTCTATCTAGAAGCATACTGTGGAACGCAGTTTTACTTTTTATTGTCACAAATATTCATTCCTCAATTTATTCAACTAACAATTTATTTGTTTGAATTTAAAATAGAACAAATTTGGCGAACAATCGTTTTTAATGTGTGGAACAAATGCACGAATCAATTTAATTCAAACAAATAAATTGTTACTTGAATAAATCGAGGAATGACCATTTGTGACAATAAAAAGTAAAACGGCGTTCCATACATTCCTGTTAAAAATTGGATGAATTTTTTGTATGTTATTTCTCTGAAAGAACGTATTATCCATGCCTGCCATTGTTGGGGCTCAATTATGGCACGTATATAACACAATATGCATTATATTTTTTCTAAAATGAAATATATTCTGATTCTAATTCTGTTTAGATATAGTTGCTTCGAAGTGAAAACTGCAGTGTAAGACAAAGGACGATTCTCGTCGGCGGTTGATGTTTAAGCTTGGTTTTGCAACTGACCGCCTCGTTTATCTCTGATATTCGAATATTTGAAAGAATTGACTAGAACTGGTCGATACTTGATGAAAATCCATATTGAAACTAATCAATACAGTTTATTGTATGATTTTCACTATACACTAAAAGTTACTTCTAAATTACAACCATTTTATATCCTCCTCTTCTCAAAATGGATGTAATTTTGAAATAACTTTTAGTTTTAGTTCATGCTTGAGAAAGCTATTGAATAGCGAAACACGTGTCGCGGTTTTTGTAAAACCCTGTATAGTGAAAATCATACAATAAACTGTATCGATTAGTTTTTTTAAAGAAACAAATGATGAAGATATGTGGCCCTTCTGCGCTTCTGTACAAATCCGTCCCTGGTAAAAATTCAATACTACCTGATTTCCTGCTATCCGTTCCGATATTCGTAGGATTTTGTTTCAATATTCCGTAGTTAAGCACGATATTCGTTTAAGTATGTTTTCATCTCTTCATGTTAAAAACCGCATTTTTTCAAAACGGAAGTTTGGTCGATTTTCATTCGAACTCGATGCGTGCATCGATAATTTTGTAGTATTCGAGAAAACACCATGTTTGAGAGCTTAATCTGAATGAAAACTGAACAGCATTTCATCGATTCTTCTTTTGGAAAAACCTGGGGACTCTTATCCAATGACTTTGCAATCGAAATGTATTAGGTCCTTTACCATACGAGTATGGGAATAATTGAATGAACAGAATGAAACCTTTCGACATACGGTAGAGAATCCGAATTAGAAACTTTATTTCATACACTATTCTACAGGATGAACCCGATTACAGAATAGGGAGTAACAGCGGCATTTACAAATATGTACTTACGTAATATAATTTATGAATCTATATTAAAAAAGAAATTAAAAACAGAACTGTCAGTTAGCTGAGAAATGTCTTTTGATTTGTATAATCTGGCAATTGAATATATCTAGGATACGACTAACAGAATTAGAGGTATCGCACGTTTTATATCGAACTCGATGCGTGCATCGATAATTTTGCAGTATTCGAGAAAATTCCATGTTTGAGAGCTTAATCTGAATGAAAAATGAACAGCATTTCATCGATTCTTCTTTTGGAAAAACCTGGGGACTCTTATCCAATGACTTTGCAATCGAAATGTATTAGGTCCTTTACCATACGAGTATGGGAATAATTTAATGAACACAATGAAACCTTTCGACATACGGTAGAGAATCCGAATTAGAAACTTTACTTCATACACTATTCTACAGGATGAACCCGATTACAGAATAGGGAGTAACAGCGGCATTTACAAAAACTATGTACTTACATATATCTAGGATACGACTAACAGAATTAGAGGTATCGCACGTCTTATAAATTGGGGATTTTTTCATTATATTTATTCGCGGAATGTTGAGATAAAAGGTGACACTATTCCTAGATGACCGTCTAGGAACCCACAAATTCAACATACGTAACAATTGAGACCAGGTAATGATATTGTTTGTGACTTCGAATAAAAAAAGAAATGAATAATATTTACGCCTTACCTTGAGCTACAAAAATTGTTAGTTTCAATCAATTCATAATAGGGTACTCCCTCAATAGGATACGTGCCTCTGTAGGGCTTCTAAAGCAAATTCAAATCCAAGATAGAGTGGATGTAAACATTGACATGCCCTACGCACGTGATATTGAAATCCCAAGAATTGGCCAGGGTCGAATTCAGAACCATTATCTTGTTGATCGCAAATGCTATATCCTACTTAGGAAAACTTTTTTATAATAACGAGTGAAATGCACAAGTTTTGCAGTTCAATGGGAAAAATGCAGAATGTCCAATTGTAAAATTGGACGTGGCTTACAGAAACTAATAACACTTCAGCGTCAGATAGATCATGAGTATATAAGTGGACTTGTCCGAAACTTTATTATGGTCAAACGGGGAGAAGTTGTTGTCAAAGAATAAAAGACCATAGAATCACTTTCTTGAATGTGAATAAGGTAGAGGAAATCCTCTACACCAACGTTTCTGTTGAAGAAGCACTTCAAATCATACAGAAGAAGCTATTCAAAGATGGGGACCAAAGATGAAAGAACAAACTTACCGATACATTTGATCACGGAATTACTAGGATGCTTTGTACGAAACTGCTACTTCCAACTGAAGGAAAAATTCTTTACGCAAGATGAGCGACTGGCCATATTAAATTCTACAAAAAGGATTTGAAGCTTTATATCTTCTATTAATTATCTACGAGCGCTTTCGACAGTTGGTAGTACTGTCATCATCTGGCACTCCTCAAACTGAACTGGTCATCCTGTTGTCTGTCTCTTTATACGGTCAGAGCGTCTTAACTCAGGTATTTCAGGTACTTTAGGTAAATTTGCCTGTATTTGTTCTNTGTAGCTTGTATGTTATTTCCTTGTAATTTCAGTTTTTTGTTTTAATAAAACTGTTATTTTCAGTTCATCTTTTTAATTTTTGTTCTTCTGGGATATTAAATTATATTAGACAATGGAAGTCCGAACTGATGAAATATGTTTTCTTCGTATATGATTGTTTCAGCTGTACTTTTACTTCCTGGTATGTTTGTTTTGATAGTTTAGTGACAACCTCAAAGAGGGAGCTTGTTGGTTGTTTTCGAGTCACGTTTATTATCTACGAATACGGTAAAGTATTCATGGATAGCATGAGTATACCTTTCCCCGATACCTTTCCCCTTCGAACTGAATATTTCAATAAACACATCGAAAAACTGTGTCAATATCACTGAAACACCCACCTATTCTGGCTCCTATTATCGGGATTCGGGCTGTGTCCTCTAACGAACTGTCCATCACTTTTGTTGAAACTCAGTAATCTACGTCCTGCGTGGGCATCAGAGGCCACGGACGACACCGAAAACAGCGACAAATCCGTGGTGACACTCTCGTGACTCGGAGACCTCAAAATCCTGCAGGCCACACTCAGAACGGGCGTCTGTGGTGTCAACTGTTCACATTTATCGCCGTCCACAGAGGTGGACGTCATTTTTTTTCAAATCCCGGTCACTGGATCCGAGTAAAACTACATCGCACCGAACGACGACTCTATTTTGATTGTTTTCGATGGGGTCTCATGGCCAACTAGCGTCAATTCACGCCCGCCGCGAGCGCAATCGATAGAGCCGCACCAGCGCGATGATGCAGATGTATCAAGGATAGTCTGATCTTGGCGAGCAAAGTGTGTCGGGTAGACCACAGGTGATCACAGGTTAGGGTTTGTTTTGGGGCGACATGGATGTTCTTCCTAATTGGAAATTGATTACGGTCGATCGAGGAAGGTATTGCTTAAGGGTTCGATGTCGCTTCTCCTTTGAATACGGGTCAAGTGGATATAATGTTACTCGATGTAATCGATGAAATTGAGGTAGATATAACAGTGTTTTGTTCCGGAGGCGAAGGTTAATGAGATTATTATGAACTCGTACAGTATTTCACCTGAAAACAAAGTAAAAGTAACATTCCAAGGTTTTAAATGAGCAGAATTAGAATGCAACGTTATAATTATTTCACTAATTAATAAGATATTCATAGTGCCACCATAATACCACCACGGCTCTTCTGTCAATTATCGATGATCTTTTTGAAGCTGTAGATGATGAGAATTTGACCTGTTTAGTACTTCTGGGTAATTGTAGGGCCTTTGACCCTCTTGATCACGAGATATTGTGTGACAAACTTGTCTCGGAAAAGCAGAATCATGTGAATTGAGTTGTATCGGGAGTGGCACAAGAATCTATCCTTGGGCTCTTGGTTTTCAGCTTGTATACCTGTGATTTTTATATGTTTGTAAAAAATGCAATGTACCATACAGACGACAAGCAGTTATATTTCTCTTTTCCATCTCGATATTCTACATATGCTCTGTCAAATATTAATAACGATCTTCAAGCCGTCTTTGACATTTATACAGCCCATAAACCCAAGCTCACATCTAATAAATCTGCAATAATGATGTTTGGACCTAAGAAAAACAGAAAGCTCGCCAACTCTACTTTTCAAATCCGCCTCGAAAATAAAATACTTCCCTCCGTGACAGAGAATTTGGATTGTCTAAAGAAATGAACTTTAAACGTTCAAGCCAGTCTTGAATATACCTACACAGTAGGTTGCATGGACTGACGCCTATCAGAAAACAACTACTCCTGGCTAATACCACGAAGGGCGTTGGATTATATCCCACCGGCGCGGCGTCAGTGCAGGAATCTTCACAGAAAATTTCCTGCATCTGAAATTGGCAATACAACTGAAAGAGTCGACTTTCAATTTTGTAACGGGCACACTTGCAGACCGGTTTCGGGCTGCTTAGCCACTCGTCAATGCAAGATAGTGACCATCATCGACCTAAAGTCAATGATATTCCATAATTTAAAATCAGAATTCTTTTAGAGTATTTCATTCCTCTTCCTAAGTTGGAGCGAACAACAAAATGTCACTACATCTAGTGGTACTAACCAACTGCATATCCGAAATTTGCAAGATTCCTCTGAATAAGGAAGTCAATGGGCTATGCTTGAAGACTGGCAGTAAACAAATCTATAGAAATGAACTTTAAACGTTCAAGCCAGTCTCTGTGTAGGTATATCCACTGACTAATAAGAACATTTGGATTATGGTTGGACTCAGAATTTCGCTTCACTAAACATTTCACCTATCTGAACCAAACTTCTTATAAACGTTTCCAAATCGTGATTTGCTCAACACACACTTGAAATTTAGACTATGTGAGTCACTGATAATATCAAAAATTTCTTACTGCGATAGTATGGATCTGATTTAAGACATTCGGATGCCTTTCGACTACATCGTATTCAGAATTGCTGCCTACGCTGCCAAGGCTGCCATGTCTACATCATGACAGGCCTTGATGAACTCCTCAGTTTCCGACTTCAGCCCAGTCGACCTGAAGAAAGTGAAGGTCAGGTACTTGTTGTTGAAGAAGACCCCATGTATTGCTTATTCTTGTGTTGTCTCAGGAAAGTGGTCTTCGCGGCTTTTATATGGGCCTTTTGCTGAACGATCTCCCACTCGGTGACATCAGCTCTTTCAGTGTTGAAAACTAAACCGAATTCACCAGCTGCTCGGGCAGCTACTCTAAAGAAAAATGTTTTAATTCCTGATCTCTCATAGTCAACGACCATGCAGAGAAGGGGATCTGACACTCCAAAGTCAGAAGTCCGCGGGTCTTTACGTCGAGTTGATAAAGCTCCTCCCGGCTCAACTTCACAACGCCAAACGAGTTGAGTAAGACTGGAACGGCAAGCATCTTCATTGCAGCACCTCTGTTCTTCCCCGACAGTTCCGATGACTAGATCTGTCAGAGTTTTTGGTGATACTTGTCGCGGAAAGAGTTCTTCACTGCTGTTACCTCTTGTAAATGGCGATGGTGCTAGATGTTTCCATCTACGAGCTGCACATCCACTCCCTAGTCCCCGCAGTCTTCATTATCATTGAATATTCTTCGAATTTCCTCCAGAGCTTTCTTGAATGTCCTACAGAACTAACATTTTCATTTTACACATTTTCTTCAATTCATATTTAATCGCTATTAGTAATGCTGTTGAAGATTATGTAAGCCATTTGTTGAATTATTTGATAGCAATTTTCAATTCCTTGTCACCAAGCCACTATTCCAAGAGCAAAAAGAGGAAATAATCACTATTAATGCTGACATTTTTGGTGCTTCATATAAGTCTTTGAATTCTTTGGATTGGTTTGTCAAGGGGCGGACCGTTCTCATCCCCAAAAACGGAGATTAGTCGATTCCTAAGAATTACAGACTGATAACATGCTTAAATTCGTGTTATAAGTTGTTTACGAGCATCTTATACACACGAATACTCACCACAGTTGACCGAGTATCCGAACGAATATATGAGCAGAGAGGGTCGAAGAAAGGAGTCGCTGGATGTAAAGAGAACCTGCTTATCGGTAAATGTGTAACGCAGGACTCGAAACAGTATACGCGTAGCCTCTTTAATGCCTGGATCGATTACCGCAAGGTAGCCAACAAAATAGGCAGATACCTTGAGCAACAGATACCACTCTGACGGACTATCCTCGAAAAAGAGAGGTTTCATGTTTAGGTGGAGTCAAAAGATGTTTAAATCTTGAATTTAGATTAAGTATATCGGTTCTGAAGGACACTTTTGTGTTTGGGTAAGCAGGTTTTCCAGTAGATATAACCTTATGGAATATAGAAGCAGAATGTAGAGATTTTTACTTGAGTATACCAGTTTTAGATTCATATAACCCTTTTTAAGAATCTGAGAAACACGTGTAGTGAATCGCAGAGAATTATCGACATGGAGGCATACATTTTTCGTGACGTCTCTATTTGATAATTGAACCTCATCGATGGAAATTCGCTACAAGGTTTTTTTGCAGTCGGCCTAGCGAATAGCACGACATAAAGGGCCCATTACACGTTCAGTAATAATGTAATTACATATTGAAGCGGCAATGAAGCGTATCCAGATATTTTGACTTTCGAGCATCATTCATAGCGAAGACATCATTATTTCGTCATTTCTGACTTCAGTACTTAAGTACGTATCTATCTCCTACAGAAGCTGAGAAAGAATAATTGTCACATGTTGGAGACGAACTCGCGACATTTTATTCTAATTCTACATGTCAATAAGATTGCATTTTCTTGGACAATAAAGTATATGTCTATCTATCTATCCTTCCTTCATCCAGTAACGAAGTTTAACAAAACGGTTCATACATAATGCAATAATTATAGCTAGAAATCCTTTTCTTAAAATCCATAATCGATGTGTCTACGCCAGTCGAAACATAATGATGATGAAAAAATAATATCAGTAATAATGAACATGTAAGGTGCGGAAAATGATGACAAGGAAAGACGGGACAATTTTTAGAAATGATGTTTGTGCAATGATCTGCTGGAATGACATTATTACTGAACGTGTAACGAGCCCTTAAGATTTGTATGCATTACAGAGAGACAGTAGTTATTTACATGATTCATGCCGCTATCATTCCAGTTTTTAGAACCTACCTCGTATATTAAAAACATACATATTACAAGAAAGTACGATCCTGTCTTACTTATCTTCTGTTCTTCGATTGTAACGATGTGTAAGTTATCTATTCCATTTTAATTGTATATACGTTGATCGATAGGAATTCCCAAATTCCCGCTTGAAGCTCGAAGCTACACTCAGTTATCAAAAGGTGACCCAAGGAGACGAGTCTTCTTAGCGTCGAACCTCTACTTGTTGATCTCAGTTTGTACAAATAAGTTGTCCAGTTTCGAATCCAAATGCGTTTTTAAAAACAGTTCCGAAATAAAATGAGTGACATCTGTTTAGTGAAGTTTTTCCTTTGTTTCTTTATTTTAATAAGTGAGTTCTATAAATAGTGTCTTATCGGGTTTTGATTATTTTTTCCAATGTAGTTTTAGATGTTATTGATGTTCCTGTAGTTAGCGGAAATTATGTGAATTCTTCTTTGGTTACATTGGATTTCTTAAGGACTAGGAGACAAGCTAGAAACTGTGCTGGGTGAGTTTGAAATTTAATTACGTCTTTTATGTATATACCTCAAAAATAATTTCTAAAATTGGTGGTTGCCGAATTATTTTTCAATAGCTTTGGGATTACAGATAGACGGAAGGTCAAGCGAACTTGATTAAGTCGGTAATTTGCTAGTAAGACTATCATTAATTTACCATAACACTTTCCAGTGGCGTACAAAGGTTTGTATTGACGTTGAATTTTTTTAAATTTCGTTCAGTTCATAGTTATAAAAATACAAATTATTTAAGGAGTTAGTCAACATGAGAAATGAGAAGAACTTTACTTTACCGTAACTAGAAGTTTGTAGAAAGTGGTCTTTAAAAGTGGAATAGTTCTCTTGCATAAGCTATATAGGTATGGAGTTCGGGGTTTGACACTTGATTTACTTCGAGACTATCTATCAGAGAGAACACAAAGAGTAAAGATAAACGAAGAACTTAGTGATTTCTCAACAATTACCGCCGGTGTACCACAGGGTACTGTATTAGGACCTATTCTATTCTTGGGATACATAAATAGTATTAGTAAAATTAAAAACTTTCAGGGACATATTATATCCTAGGCTGACGATACGGTCATTATCTTCTCAGGGGACTCATGGCAAGGAGTCTACAGAAAAGCGGAAAATCAAATGAAAAAGATGAAAGCATGGCTCGATTATAATCTTCTTAGCCTAAACGTTGGAAAAACAAAATTTATGACAATCACTTTAACAAAAAGCGACCAACCAAATGAAAAGTTTTTGAAGATACATAAAATAAATTGCGCTCAAAATATCTGCCAATGTCCTACGATCGAAAAATCGATTAAACTTAAATATTTAGGAGTCATAATTGACCAGCATTTACGATGGGATGAGCATACGCAGTATATGATCAAGAGACTAAGGCAACTCATTCACAAATTTTACTCCCTGAGAGATATCCTAACCCGTAAGAACATGCTCACCTTATATTATGCACTGGCAGAGTCTGTTCTTAAGTATTGCATTACAGCATGGGGAGGAACGTTTGAAAAAAATTTAGGAAGTTTACAAACACATTACTGAAAATTATTTGTAAGAAGGACCGTTTATTTTCCACAAAAAAGCTGTATGAAGAAATCAACTTATCTGTATACGTTGTATACGTTGTGAATAAAAAGTTGAATGTTTGAAATTTGACAATTATTGCTGTTATGTTGTTGATAGTTATCAGGGTCTGATTCAATTATGAAAGTGGACTATTACACGTAAAAGATCTGTTGATGGATCTTCTAGAAGGCAGAAAAAATAATGACTAAATAGTCACGTCAGTGAATACAATGAATATCTTTGACTAGTTATTAATTGTGTAATACTTTTATCAATTATAAATGATACAGCACATTTTTTGAGTACAATCGTGCCTAACTAAGCTATTTTGCAGCAGTTTGGTGAACAACACAATAAGTTGGACACTACATATTAAGTTTTGACGAGTTTTTCGAATATTCAATTGGTTTCATGATTATTTGACTTGGCGAAAACAAAGAGTAAAAATCAGAAGCATATTTTCAGGAGAAATAACCAATTATAAGGGTGTTCCTCAAGGTAGTGTCCTAGGTCCACTTGAATGATAATGAATTTATATGTGGATTATGAATTTATAAATTTACTCGCAGATGACACATCACTAACATGCCGAGATACAGATTGCGATAGAGCTATTTATAAAATAAATTCCATTTTGGCCAGTGCTAAGAGGTATCAGTTAATTAATGAATTAAACTTGAATGTAGCTAAAACCGAAGCCTTGATTACTAACAAATCCAAATACGCCAAAATCATGTTTATATTTATGAAAAAATGTCGAAAAAAAGTGGTTTTCCTGTAATCGCTGAGAACTTGTCAACAGATTAATTGTTTCTTGCAAATCTGATTGATGAAAGGAGAGTTTTTCTCTCTTCCTATATTTCAAAAAGAACTTACCACTAATTGCTACCTTCCCGTTAGTACTCATATAAATATAATAAAAATTTCTTGTCTTCCTTCGTCACAATGGAAATACCACCCATTCGTTAAATCGGCTTTCAAGTGATCAATCTAGTTTGTGTTAGAACTCGGCTTGTAGTTTTTTTTTTAACATATTTAATTGAAAATACCTGTTCTTTTCAGATTCACATGTTCAACAACTGGGGAATGTATAGAAGAAGAAAAAAGGTGTGATGGTACCGTAGACTGCAGAGATGGTAGTGATGAGTTCAATGACTGCAAAGATGCCGTACAGTGAGTAAAATTGAATTAATTATGAAATTATCATGTGTGATCCAATCGGCTGATACTTGATGAAAATCCATAACGTATTCAAGAAACAATTCATTGTGAGTTTGACAATAATTTACTACACTGTAAAATAATCAAACTTAACTTTATTTCACTGTTAATATAACCAAACACTAGGTTAGGTTAGGTTAGGTCTAAAGTGAGTGGGTCTATTCGACCCTCCACCGCAACCCGCAAGGGTTTATTGTGGTTTACACCTATTCACACTCGACCAAATAAACCCAGCTTCTTAACGAAGCCGATTAGTTTGTATGGTGAGTGGTCTTTCCTGTTAGATGGTAAGAGTACGGCTCTGCCGAACTCTAAAAACATGATTCGCCTTGGAGTAAGCCAATCCTCGAAGATTTTGCCAGAAGTCCATAAATCTTCTTGCCATCCAGGTGTTCAATGTTTGTTTGGCAAAGCCTAGAGAGAGGCCAATGACAAGTTCTGGTCCGATCAAGCCGCTTGCAGCACCGTCCTTTGCAAGGGAGTCAGCAGCCTCATTGCCTTCCAGGCCATTAAAGCCAGGAATCCTGACCAGAGACAACCTATTAAGTCTTCCTATCGAGGAGAGTCGTTTTTGGCAATTTGCCACCAATTTAGACGTTGCTCGGTAGAAGCTAAGAGCTTCCAACGCCGCTTGACTCTCCGAGAATATTTTTATTGACTTGTGTATGAGGTTGGATTTATCCAATATCTCCGCACACAATTCCATAGCGTAAATTACCGCTTGAAATACAGTCGCAAATTATTGGGCAGGTATATATCTCTGTCCTGGGTCTGCGACTAAAAACACCTGCATCAGAACTGGAAGGTGTTTTTGATCATCTGTAAACCAACAACTATCTGCTCTTAATATTTCCTTCTCCCGATGGATCCAGTCCTCTCTACTCGATTTCGATACCTCATAACTAAGTTTACTAAGTGGGTGCCACAGGATTATCACTAGCCCTCTGGAAAAAGTTCATGAAAAAACCTTGTAAGAGTAATTCTGATGTCACGAGAATACGTGAATTGTTTTAGCCAGCTTTTCCATGAACTATGCGCGATTGCATTTGCGCCCTTCATGGAAGATATCAAGCATTTCATAAATCAGCCTGTGTTTACGGGGCTGATTATGATAACACCTAAGCGCCGTGATGTCCCTCGTCTGCGGGCTTTTCGGCAGAAAGAGCTTGAAGAATGTATATGACAGCCTTCTGATCGACCAATACCCGTACGTTGAGAAAACGCAAGATTTGCCGAAAACATCGCCGGTGTCTGTGAGAGTGTGCAGAAGAATCGGAGGCAGACGATTTCACGTAGCTCACAAGAACTCGGCCTTTTGCAGACCACAACTTGGCAAATTTGCATCGTTACTTCGGCCTGCACCCGTACAAAATCCTACTGAACAAGGAACTGAAAGTAAACGACGTGTGTTCGCTGAATGGTCTCTGGAGCAGTTAGCAATTGACCCTCATTTTCATCGAAAAACCATGTTCATTAATGAGGCCCATTTCTGGATGAATGGGTAAGTGAACAAACAAAATTGTCTAGTTTGGGACGATACCAATCTATAGGAGATCCAAGAGCGTCCAATGCATTCCGAAAAAGGCACTGTTTGGTGTGGATTTTGGGCTGGCGGCGTCATCGGTCCATATTCGGTCCATCCTGAATTGGATGATCTGGATACCACCGACATATGGTTTCAACAGAACGGCGCTACGTGCCATACAGCTGATGCCACATTGGATATCTCTGTATCTGTAGAGTAGGGAGGGTGAGTGTAAACCCACAACACTTGGCCACATGTGACCCATTGTACATCCTCCCGAGGAGTTGTCCTCCTAGGTCATCGTCCATCCTGTCCTTTCCAGGAAGGTGGACAAGTCACTAGGAGACATCTCCTTTATATTGACAGGTGTAGGTCAAGACTCGCCGAACACACACTCTCTGTGGCAACCTTGAGACGTCTCACGGTGGCCTCCGCGAAGGTTTAGGAAGGTGCAGCGACAATACTGTCGTTGCGCGGCTTCTTCAACCCTCTTGGGGTTCTCTCCGTGGGGGTGCACAATGTTAGAGTTCTATGGTTTTTATTGTGGTGACTGAAACTTCTGTTTTGGAGTTTACTGCGACATTCTCTTATGGCCAGACCTTCCGCAGTTATATCTAAAGTTTTGACTTCCAAAAGCTGTTGACTATTGAGAGATGCTGGTAATACTTCCAGAGTTCTTTCTCTTGTTATTCTCATCCAAGAGATGAGCCTTCACAAACTCCAAAGATAACTGTGATTGATCAATAGTTTCCAAAGCAGCCACAACAGCTTCAAATGATTTAGGTAAACTCAGTAACAAGTGACATATGGCATCGTAATCTTCTACATTAGCTCCAGATTCCTTCAATTCTCTGATAAGCTTATCAAACTGAAGAAGATACTGAGTCGTTTCATCATCTTTTTGGTGTCTGAGGTCAGTAATCTCCTTCGTATAAATAACTGACTTGGAATTGTGTTCCTTTCAAACACTGACTTCAAGGTATCAATAATTCCCTTGGCTGATTTTTGGTCTTCAGTATATTCTAGCTATTCAGCTGATATATGGTTGATTATGATAGCTTCACATTTTTTTTCCAGTTTACCCAAGACCCGTTTTTCCTCTGGTGTTTTCCCATTAGTAATGGTCGCTAAATCTTCTTCCACAAATAATTTCAAGTCGTACTGATCAAGGATTGTTTCCAGCCTAAATTTCCAGCTGCCGAAATTTGTTCCATCGAATAAACATTTTGTTTAAGTTCCAGTTGTGTCTAAAATGTCACGTAGAGCTTCTAGAAAATTACTTCTTGGCCGATATTAACAATTCCAACTGTGCAGGGCATTAACTGGGCCCATAACCTCTTATTTGTGCATGAAATGGAGAACGTTATATTTCAAAATAAATGACAAAATACCGCAGTGGTTTTCCTTTTTATTACAAACTTACATCACTACCAAAGTTACTACTAATAGATAACGAAATCATGTCATATGACATGGAACATAAAAGCCATACAACTCTAACACATAAGTGAGGGAGCTTTCCTGCAGGGGCAGCCGGTTCCTTGCCTTTATTGAAGGCGGAGCTCTTGGCGCCCGCCGAAGGAAGTGCCCTTGTTGTTGAGGTGGAGTGGGGGAGGATGAGGGCGCTGCCACTCCTGCCTCCTTCGCTCTCTTTCTCCTTTTGGCCTCGGCGCCGTAAATGTGCTTACGCCTTGGCCTTTGTATTACATCACGAGGCGATCTGCTATGTCCAGCCTCATTCCAAGCGGTAGATTGTGGTGGACATTTCTGTTCATCCCCAACCACCGCCTTAGAAGGAGGTGAGCACTTCTGTCAAGCCTTGGGATTGGTTTTTGTTTTTTTCTGTTTTTGTGTTTGTTTCATTCATGTGTGTTCCCACGAGTAGCAAGGGAAGAGTTGGTCATCTCTGGCAGAGCCTCGCATTACCAGAGGTAGACTGATTGCAATGAGATTTCGCTCAGTTCCCTAAGGGGATCGTTCGTAACTGCATATCACCCTGCGGCCATTCAACTGTCGGCACGATTTCTTACACCTTCGCTTGAGTAGGCTGGTCGACGGTGGCATATTTTGGAAAGGCTTTTGGGGAGTTTAAGATCCCCTCACCCTACTGATTTCTGCCACTGAACAGGAGTCCAGCGACCCCGTTCGTAAGGCCACATTGGATTCCCGGACAGGGCCTCCAGTCCCCTGGCCGTTCCTCTATCCGCCACATTGGATATTCTGCACCAGCAATTCGAGGGCATGGTCATCTCACGCGGAGGTGAACTGGCCACCGAGATCGTACGATTTGACTCCATTGAACTTTTTCCTGTGTAGTTTTCCTAAGTCGCAGGTGTATGCAAATAAGCCACAAACCACGGCGGTCCTCAAAGCCAATATAAGCTATGGCATCGGTTAAATTCTGTCTCACAAAATCATGTTTATTGAAGAACTGTATATTATTATTATTGTAGGTGTCCTGGGTATTTGTTCGTCTGCGACTATGGAGCTTGCATAGATGAGGACAAAAAATGTGATGGAAAAAAAGACTGCAGAGATAATTCCGATGAAGCTCATTGTGTAGCAGGAGAAGTGGCCAAGGAAGAAAGTAATTGCAAGTAAGCACATTCTTTGTGACGTTTGCACGTTTGTTTTTTAATAGAGTTTGTTTTTGATTAGAGTCATAAAATTTTGCCGATTGGAGCTAGAATGGGCAAAATTATATGAATCTATTCAAAAAACAAGTGAAATGAAATAAAATTATTTTTTTGTTGAGAATCATCCAAGTTTCAAAAGATTTTTTCCAGTGAACTTCGCCTCTCAGGAGATGAAAAAAAAACATTTCTAGATTTTGCGTAGACATTTTTAGAATGTAATAGTCATTTCAAGTGAGAATAAAAGATGTTTGCAATACATTCACCATAGTGAGGGTAATGAGTTCCAGTTGTTTGATAATGAAGTGAAATGAGGACTTCTATTCAAAGAATCAGTCATCACTTCTAAACGTAAATTCTTTAATTGACCGACATATTTTTCTATGTTTTCAATCAAAATATTATCAAAAAAAGAAGTGTCCTGGGTTTTCAGTGACGAAATTCAACTTTTCACAATATCAGAGGCTATCAGTGAAAATCAACAATGAGTCCAAATGGTCAAAATTTTTTTCTGACCCTTCGAAAAAAAGTACATAAGGTTCATTTTTCACCTCTTGGTAGAATACATTTTTTGTGCCCCTTCGTATTTTATATATTTGTCATTTGTCCTCGCTAATGAATTTGAATCAAAGTTGCATTAAAAATTTGAAAGAGAACTTTTGCCAATATGTTTATTGACTGAAAATATTCAAAAATTTTAATTTCTTCATTCAAGACCTTTTTCATAGAGCTGAATTAGACACAGACATTGATATAGGAAAGAGTAAATGTCCAACAACTCCAAATTTATAATAATAATGAATTTTACTATGTAGGACTTCCATTATCTAATATAAGATAACATCACGTGGTCCCAAGCTGAGATCATCCACAGAGAAGAATACTGGTTTAAGAGAAAGTTCAAAGGAGCTGCATATATGTTGTCCAACGACGCATTCAGCCAAGCTAGCGTAGAGATACGAACCATATAGAAACCTTCAATAAATAGTCATCTCTCGGAGAAATAGTCCATTCATCACCCTAACAATCGAAACATCGTGAAGTAACCGGATTTGAAATCTTTTTAGGTTTTATTTCATTTTTATTTCTTCAATTTTCAATTTTGATTTCGTTTGTTCTTTCAGAAATTTCAAATCATATCAAAAAATGGAAGTCCAAACTAGAAAACAATTCAACCACTTTCAAACAAATTATAATGAATCCAATAACTTTTGCAACTTTTACAGATCGGATCAATTTCAGTGTTTGTCAGGTCAGTGCATATCTCTAGATGATAAATGCAACGGTCAAACCAACTGCGTGGATAAGTCTGACGAAACGAAAGAAACCTGTTTGAACATGTTCTGTCCGGGATACCTCTTCAAATGCGACTATGGCGCATGCGTGGACGGATACGCGCAGTGCAATGGTGTCAGAGATTGCGTCGACAATTCTGACGAAGAGGGTTGTCCAGGTGGAGAAGACGTGAAGCCTACAACCGAAAGGGCCCCCACACCAACACCCCCCATTATTATTGGACCAGATGGGTAAGTTGTAGCATTAATTACCTTAACATCACTTAAACAGAAAGAGGTGACATGATGGTTATGGCTTTCGCGACCAAGGTTTTCAGTGTCACTATTTAGAGTTTGAAGACCGTCGATTTTTGGATTTGTTTCATGACGTTTCGCTGGCCCAAGTGGCTTGCTTCTTAGGTAATTGTCAATAACAACGAATGTTTTTGACAATTATCTAATCCAGGAACAGGTATTAGCACACCAAACTACCTGAGTCAACATAAATACGCTTTACGCAGCCGTAATGTTCAATCATTGGAGATAACTCAGGATGTAACGGGTGAGGTATATATAACCAAGAGGTTTAGGATTTGATTTTCAAAACAACACAAAAAGTTAGGAAAAATTGATAAAGTCCTTATTGGAATCGATAGAACGATCAATATAATTTGATGTTTGAAGATGATTTCATGCAATCTCTCTAACATATCGACCGGTATTTCACGTATAAATGCTTCAATATTGGCTTTCAGAGCGTCAGTCGTTGCTGGTTTATCCCTGTAGACATGAGCCTTAACATGACCCCACAAGAAATAATCCAAAGGCGTTAAATCACACGATCTAGGCGGCCAATTGACGGGCCCCAAACGTGAGATAAACTGTTCACCGAAGGCGGCTTTTAATTGGGCCATTGTTTCGCGTGCCGTGTGGCTGGTGGCACCGTCTTGTTGAAACCACATGTCAGGCATGTCCAATTCTTCCATTTTGGGCAACAAAATGTCGTCAATCATCACACAGTAACGTTCCGGCCATTGTCGTCCTTGAAGAAGTACGGCCCGATGATGTCACCGACTTATAATCCACACCAAACAGTGACTTTTTCGGGATGCATCGGTAGCTCTTGCAATGCTTGTGGCTGGTCTTCACTCCAGATGCGGCAATTTTGCTTGTTAACTTTTCCATTCAACCAGAAATGAGCCTAGTCGCTGAACACAATTTCACGATAATTGCCAGCGCCCATTCACCAAATATTAGACGTTGTGGGAGGTCGTGTGGCTTCAATTCTCGCACCAGTTATATCTTATAAGGTTCTACACCCAAATCCTTTTGCAAAATTTTCCACGTAGTGGAGTAACAGAGGCCCGATTGCTACGAACAGCGGCGAATCAACATTTCACGGTCATCACGAACACTGGCGGATACAGCCGCAATATTTTCTTCGGTCCTCACTCTACGTATGCGTGTTGGTGGTTTAATGTCCAATAATGTAAACTGGGTTCGAAATTAAGTCACAAGCTTTCGAATAGCTCTCTCAGTAGGCCGACGAAACTGCCCATAAATTGGAAAAAGTGCACGATGCACTTTCTTCACCCAGCATGAATTTTGATAATAAAATTCAATAATTTGGAAGCGATGTTCATTCGTAAGTCGATTAATTCATGGTTGAATTATAGACCAAACTGAACAAGTTTGACAATGACACAGGACACGATCCATGCGTGATCTGTCAAAAACAGTGTTGCCAAAAAGATAACAGCAAAAAAATCACTCAGTATAATTCTGTGAAGAAGCTAGCCACTTGCGCCAGCGAAACGTCAGGAAAAAAATCCGAAAATCGACGGCCTTCAAACCCGAAATATTAACACAGAAAGAGGTGAATATTACTTCTTGATCTGCGTCTTCAAGATAATCACTTGGTGATCGAAATACGTGTCGAGGTGTTTAAATAACGATTTGGTGTTGGGAAAAACTCCAGTAATATTCATTACTACACCAAAGGTATCAAACAGTGCATCATGAGTACAGAAAGAGGTACTGCGAGATTATTTGCCTGAAAGGTTCACTGAACCACGACATGTGTTTCACTATACGATAACTTCCACAAGCAGGATTGATGAATCACTTCTGAATTATAATCATTTTATGCTCCAATACCATCATTTATTACCACACTATATTTACATCTTCATTTCTGAAGATATCAAAAATATTCATACTAAATTGGTCCGAATTAGTTAACGTTCTGTACTTTTTCTCCTCGTGTCATAAGATTGGGTTGAATTTGGATAGCCAAGAAATCTATACAGTCAAGTCAGAAAGGAAATTTATCCGATTCTTAGAACAAGAAAAAAATTACCTTAAGCCAACCTAGTTTTTAACTTTTTGAAAGATTAAGTTCCCTCAGATGAACTAGTGAAGTCTGTACTTCTTTAAAATTCAAATAGAGTAAATAAAGTACAGCTAGCCTGATCGGTGAACAATAGATACAGAAAATATTTCGAGTTGTGGTTTGAAGAAGCAATTTCCATGACGCCATTCTTTCACTACAGTGATAAACATTTTGTTGTAATGGTTTATGATGAAGGTGAAAAATCCTCACTCTACAAAGTTTTTATATTATTTTTCATGAGTAGGTACAGCAGAAAAAACATACTAATTTGGTTAAATTTTATTCTAGGGGATGCAAATTACCAAATCACCCCGAAAATGGCAAGTGGACCATACAAAGTGGCACTTCTGTCCCTCCTGGACAAAATGTGGGTGTTAACACTCTCCTCTTGTATTTCTGTGATAAAGGGTACAAACTTTCCACCGAAGGTAACCTTGTGGCTTGTTTAGACAATGGTTGGAGTGGACCACACCCTACTTGCCTACGTAAGTGATTAATTGAACAAGAAAGCCTCTTTATATTTATCCGCCAAGCAAAAATTTGAAATCGGGAGGGGAAGGAAAAGAGAAGACAAAGTTGCGGACTAGAGCAAAAAAAAATAGATTCTAAATTGATGAGCAACAAAATAACTACTCAGTTGAATTTACAGCGATGATAACTGAAAAAGAAAAAATGAAGAAGTTTTTTGGATTGATGATGAAGTTGCATTTTCACAATCCCCGCAAACAAAACTGAAAGAATGAAATGTTTCCAGAATATAACAAATTACAGTATATATAAATTTTCAACCAAAGCCTTTTTTAAAGAGGTATGACAACACTAATGTCTCAATCGGCGTACTCCCAAGCGTCGACTGTGATTCCACCGAAAGGTCATCTTCGTTTCAAGCAGGTGGGAGCCCAGCTCCCTTACCCTTAGGACTGATGCTCGTCAGAAGGACAAGCGGGTCAAGACTGATTATTTGGTAGTGGTATGAAAGTCCTCAGACATCGGTACCGCCTTCACGTATAACCCCTACCTGGCTGGGGTGTTTGAATGAAGATACCTATTGTTCATCTCCTAACGGGGGACATGAAGGCCTCATTCGACAGAGTGTCGGGGCCTTCTATTTCGGGAGGGGTCGTCTACAGTATAATCCATAGCTTCCCTGACTAACGGATTTTCATGGTTTTCTGCGTAATCAAGGACTTGCCGATTCCTCGACTGAATGGACTGCTGAATGGAAGTCAGCTGTAAATCTCTGCGGATGGCTTCATTCCGCACGAACCAAGGAGCATTCACAATCATCCTTATTAGCTTATTTTGCAATCTCTCCAAAATGGAAATGTTGGACGGAGCCGCTTGTCCCCAGACGCCTGAAGCATACATGATGACAGGCTTGAACATCGTTTTGTAGATCGTAAATTTGTTTTTAAGGCTCAATTCAGAACGTCTGTTGATCAGAGGGTACAGACTAGCTATCCGACCCTCGATCTTTGCCTTCACGGTTGTGATGTGCGGGTTTCAGGTGAACCTACGGTCTATTAGAAGACCTAGGTACTTTACCCGCACTTGTCAGTCGATCTCCCTTCCAGAGATTCTCACTTTTATGGCCGGAGAAGGTAGCAATCTTTCCATGGTTATCGCCTGGGTCTTTTCCGAATTCACTCGGATCTTCCATTCAAGGTACCAGCACTCGAGGTCGTCCAATGCACGTTGCATGTAGACGACACATAGCTCCCGATCCATGGAAGACGAGAGGAGAGCCGTGTCATCGACGTACAGAGATATCTTCACACGCTCTCACCTTGGAAGGTCACTGGTGTAAAGTGAATACAGCGTCGGCAAGAGCACGCCCCCCTGTGGCACTCCAGCGAGGATCTCTCTGTTGTCAGACAGAGAGCCTTCTACTCTAACCTAAAACGTTCTGTCTTTCCGGAAAGACCCAATCCACCGGATCAGGCCCCGAGGCAGGTCGAACGCAATTAGTTTGTGCAGAAGGCCTTCGTGCCATACACGGTCGAAGGCCTTCGAAATGTCTAGCAAAACGACATGAACTTTTTAGTTTTGATTTAGTTCTGCCATGGTATTTTCGACCAGTCTCAGAGCCTGTAACTCAGTGAATTGTTCTCTCCTGAAGCCGATTCGTTCGTCATGCAGAACATTTCGGTTCTTAACTTCTTCGTTGAGTCTTTGCAGAACAACTCTTTCAGCCAGCTTAGCCGCCGACGAGAGCAGACTAATCGGGCGATAGTTCTGTGGGGTTCTGACCCTGTTTTGGGATCACGACGGCGATCGCATGCTTCCAACAGCATATCGCGGTCAATGTCATCGTCGTCTTCCACGTTAAGTTGAAACTGACGTTCCATCGTGTCTGCAAAGGCTAACGCTTTGTCGGCGGGACTGTGGTTCCACAAGCTCTGGTCTGGTATTTATGTACCTAGACGAGTGTAGGGGCAAACCGGTAGTGGAAGCAAGGGTGGAGATGTTAGTGGGAACGGGGATGTGACTTATAGAATCTAGGTTTGCTATGTTGTCAGACGTATGGCGTAGAAGTAATGATCTCCATGAATGAGGTAGTATTTATGAATTACCTCATTTGTTGAGGCAGTTGCAATGTTTTTTAATTTCAATAGAGTCGCGGAATATCCTGGTCTGGAGAGTTTTTTCGGTGGCAATGATTTTGGTGGTTTCAAAGGTTATTGTGTGGCCTGTTTGACGATGATGTTTAAAGAGGGGTGAGGCTGGATCTGATTTACAGACAGCAAGCTCATGTTCAAAGGCTCTGTTGGAGAATCTTCTTTTGGTCAGGCCGATGTAAGTCCTGCAGCAGTTGGTATTTTGTATATGCCCTGTGCTTCACTGGGTCACAGTATACTTATATACAGTAGTCCCACTTAGCGTCGGTCCCTTTCATGTTGGTGTCCAGGAGTTTCAGTTTTTACAATGCTGACTTATTTGACACTAATGACATTTCTCCCTACTACAATCTCAACCAAAGCATCTAAACACTGCTCACCATAACAACTAGTCATATGAACTGCTCAAAAAAATACATTCGATGAAAACCATGTTGGGAACCTGAGAAAATTGTGCAAATGATAATTTTGCATTTGTGTAATAATCAAGTAACCCAAATCATTTGGACAGTGATGAACTATGTTTCAAGTAGATTTTAAAAATTCATGGGATCGGCAGGGTTAAACCCAGGAAATTCGACAACTATGGAAGGGTTGCGTACCTGTCTTGAACTCATCGTTTGCGTAGACCTGAGACTGCAACTCCTGGGTCTGCGTGTAGAAAATTCAAACCAAAAATCACCCGAAGTGGGATTACTGTATATGGAATACTGTGACTGGGTATTGTATCCTTAGATGTTCGTAAGAAAGTGGAAATTTTATGTTGGCTGTGAATACTGTTGTTATATGGTGCATCTTTAGAATTCGGCTCACTTTGTCGGTTACTCCATGAATATAAGGAAGAAAAACTTTCTGGTGGTTCGTATGTTTATGGACCTGTTTGGGATGTGGGTTATGGGTTTGCTGAAGTTGGATGGATCTTTGGATTTGGGATTTATAATAGTCGTTTTGAAGGGTGGTTTTGAATTCGTCTAGTCTCTTGGATCTATTGTGGCTGCCGGTGAGTCTGATAGATCTGCGTATGAGGAAATTTAGAACGGAATTTAATTCAGCAGGATGATGATGGGACTTAGCATTGGTGTAGTTTCCGGTAACAGTGTGTAAGAAGGAATCAATAAGAAACCAGAAACGATGGACCGACTGTTGACGTTTGAGAGTAGGCAGATTGAGACCTTAGTAAATGTATTAGGGGAGAAATTAATTTCTTGATGAATTCCAACATTCAGTTGGTCGATAGCCGGGTGGTTCGACGTGGGTGAATTGTTCACTCAGTCAATTGGCCGATGTGTGAGTCGATAGTTCAAGCCCCGCCCGATTTTCACTTGCTATCGTCCAATCCGTGTTAGGAATCACAAGTTAAAAGGTAAGACCTCGTTAGTCTATAGCTCCCACAAGTTTCGACTTCTGAGGGTTGACGGTCTTAGGGGTGCGATAGCTGATTAACGGAAAAACATATTTTAAACAAAAATTCAAAGACATTATGTATCTCATAAATAAATCAGTTGCGGATCTATGTTAATAAGATTTTTTCCTAAAATCATTCAAGGATTGCCGCCCATCAGGATTAGCATTCAACTATGCAACACCCTATATATCATTTTTTTTTCAGAACTATGCCCACCACTGTATACAACAGCTGTAACCAAGGTAAGGTGCTTTGGCAAGGATAAGACAGAAATCAAGTGCGACGAAGCCACAGATGGAAGCTCGGCCAAATTCGAATGTGCCACTTATTATGAACCGGCGGACAGACAGATATCGATTCGCTATTGTTGGTCAGGGTCTTGGAATTTACCGGCTCCTCAGTGTATACCAGGTCAGCCAATAACTATCAACTTCAATTTTTACATTAATGTATATAAGTGCGGTGACGATGGAAAAAACTGCGTTCTAGAATCCAAACAACGGAATTTTGAATACCAGGATAATGTGAATGCAAATTCGATAGTTTTTCCTAACGACTGAGTTGTTAGCTTTTTGCCTTGTCACTGAGAGGGATGAAGTTTCATTCTGAAATTGTATAATCCATTAAAATGTAAAATTTGTTCAGTCCTTATCGTGCGTTTTTCAGAGGATGCAATTTAATTTTTTTGATGCTTAAGTTAAAGTTTGTGGGGTCGTGGGTCACATATTTTAAAAGTTATCAATACGAAGTTCCTTTACGAAATAAAACTGATAATTGCATATATAAATTATCATACTCAGAACCAACAGTGAATTTGTATAAACCAAAAAAATGTATTAGATTTGAACACACTTTACAAACAAAAAATTTGTTTTTTCACTCATTCAATAACAAATAAATCAAACATAAATTTCATAGAAATCAATAATATTCATAGTCATAACACTAGACAAATGAAATTATTATCAGTTCATGATTTCAAATCTAATTTTGGACAAAAAACAATTCATCATGATGGAATTATAATAAACAGTCCATTTCTTTAATGAAAATAAATAAATACATTATTTTGAAGTAAAATAGTTTCTTACTTGTCTGGAGTATTGTAGTGGTGCTCCACCTTTGGAATACAATATCCATATCGAATTCATTGGAATTTGCTTCGACGATTCCATTGATGAGAGAGTCAACACTAGTTTTCAGCTGTTCTTCCGGAATGGAAGGATGACCTGGGGGTTGTTTGTTATGTACACTACCGGTAGATGGTAATTTGGATACAAGTTCCCTCAATTTTTTTCTACAGATAGGACGATTCTACAGATAGGATATAAAAATCGCTTTAATTTTTTCTTCCAATGGACGAGAATTGACCATTTTATTGATTGTTGACGTGGTACCTAGTAAAACCGGAAACTAAATGAGAATTTTCTAACTGAACAATGATGTTCATTGTCGTACTGACATTTTTTGTCGTTTTTATGAACAAAAAATAACTCAACAAACCTTATCGGGTTGTAGGAATTGCCATATGGCAGATAAAAATAAATATTTCGATATCAATATCAATATTAACGAGTTTGCCTTCAGGAAACTATTAAATGTTTCGCCATGTTGTAGTAGGTGAAAATATTGACTTCATATTCTAGGGTTGTGAAGTATTTGTCAGTTTAATAGCTCATAATAATTACTCGTGTTGCCTTCTTCAATATTTCATTATTTTGTTAAATTTGTATCTTCAGTTAATGTAGTTGCTTCCTGTTCATAAAAATTAAATGTTTTTTGGGATAATAAATCAGTGAAAAAATGTTTCTGCTCAATAATAAATCGTTAAAAATACCCAGTTTTTCATATTAATCATCATCTACTTAAAATATCGGCCAATTTTTTTTCCGTTACAAACGAGAGTTCTGCATGATGTGCACATTAAATGCTGCATGGAATTGTTCAATGCTATGTACATGGCGAACCTTCAGTGGGAAATGGTAAGGAGCTTCTGTCAATCTCGCATTCTTTCATGCTGGAACTAATAAGAGATCTGGTGGACCAGAGATCCAGGGGACTAACAAATATTGAAGTAAGCATTTTCACTATTCTTTACTAAACAGAACACTTACCTTGACATTTACACCTTAACACATTATAACATGAGGTTGCTTGCTTAAAACTGTTAACTCACATGCACCTGCTCACCATTTTTATTCACAGTCGTCATCAAATGTCTGATTATTCACATGCCACATCTTGCATCGACTTGGTTCCTGCTGCAGATGAAAATCTGCTCTGGTCATTCATTATTCCACTATAATAGTTGGACTGAAAATTTCGTAGACTGACACACAGATGACGATAATAGTATTAAATTCATATGATTTTTCATTCATATGATTTAGTAGCTGTCAGTATAACTTCATACTTTTTATTTTTTTCTGTCCAACAGCTGATGATGTGTACGATGTAAATTCCAGAGTAGTGAGCATATGTAAGAACTCACCAGCAGAACATGCTAAGAAACTTTTTTACTCAAAACAAATCCGTTGGAAAATTCTGAACAATGGGTCATTTTTTTAAAGGAATATGTATAAAGAATTGAAATAGATTTCAGATAGTTTAGGCTGTAATAATAATAATAATAATGAATCGGCTTTATTGATAATACAAAAAAACAATACAAAGATACATTTGAACATGAAAATAAGTTACAGGAGATTCTGGTACTCATTAGTGAAGACTAGCTCAAAGCTACTCTAACTCAACCAACATGCACCACTCGATAATGCACGCGAACATACAGAAATACAAGACAATTAACAGTGATGGTATAGTCTATTCATTCCCAATTGGAACGGCAATAAAAAAGAGAGCACTACGAGGGGTGTTCATACTGCCCGGCAAATGGAAAATGTATATACTACCAGTGCTTTTATGTTCGAAGCGTCCCTGGTACAGACATAAACATTTCTTACCTGTGGCCCCTAGTCGCCCAGATAGTTAGTAAACGTGCTATTAGATGTAGTTGAGGAATAAAGGCTCGGCTAGCTGGACTGGCTGAAAACTAATTTTTNTCTCTGTGCTGTTCCAATTTGTATTGGAAATACTATACCACGAAATAAGAAACATAAATAAAAATAATAATTTGTGATTGCCCTCTGAATAGAGTTGATAAATAAATTTAATTGATCTGTTGTTTATTAATTTGTCCAGTGAGCAAATTCTTATCTGTATTGAGGAGGAATTTTCACTAAAGCACCTAAGAAACAGTTTCTGCACTTTAAAGTGTTTCTGTTCATTATAGTAGTACTGTGGATAAAATTGGTTTTTGCATGCAATTCTGTTTTGAAAACACATTGAAACTGTTAATATATTCTGGATGTTTGTGTTTTTGTTGTTGGTAATCATGTTCAAGTTTTTGTTATGCTAATGTAGGTACTAGTCTTCTTGAATTCTATTTGGCGTTTGGCTTTTCACATTATTATTGTTTTGGTTCACCATTTTTTTTTATTTTCAATGTTTTTTTCGGTTAGGTGTTTTCTTTGTTTTGATACAAATAATTTTCAACCTATTTTTATGTATAAGCTCATCATTACTAAGCAGTCTTGTATTTTTACCAAAACATAAAGATAAGTTCTTGGAAGTAGGATCAAATAATACTTACCCTTTGCGGAATGCAAATATATGTTTCCCTATTCATAGACTAACACTAACAGAAGAGCATCCGTCATATGCATCAATCAAGTTTTTCAATAAATCACCACAAAATATAAAATCGTATGAGAGCCTTGAAAAATTTAATAAATGTGTGAAAGATTTCCTTATAGACTTGGAACCATATTCAATTCAAGAATATCTAGATTGCTGTTAACTTCGATTTATATTAAGATGTTTTTATTCCTTCGGCATACTGATGGATTTTCTTTTTAATGTTCGTACAATCTGTCTGACGTTGCATTTCATGTTTTTATGTTGCAGAACAATGTAAAGCATACCGTGTAATATAATTTATTATTATCATTATTGAGACAGTGCTTACCTAATTCTGAAACATACAGGGTGTTAATTTGAAAACCTCCCACCCTTAATATCTTCCTTCCAGTAAACAATATGAGGAATCGAGAAAACAGGTCGATATTATTGTCAAGGGAAACATTTTCAACATCTACCCCTCCCTATTTTAAATGAGAAGAAAAGTTCAATTCTGCTTCCCATGGTACCCTGACAGATTGAGACCTTCTTGAAAAGGTCGAACGCGAAAGTGGAAGACCGTATTCACGAGGATACCAGGAAAATTATTTGTAATTAACCTTAATCATGTTGATATTTCTAGTTAATTCTTTTTAGTAAGCACTGTCTAAGGATAGTTTGGGTTAACAAAATACCAGAATGTTCTATGAAAAAATGACAATTATTCACGGATTTCGAACTAGAAGTCCGTTGAGACCGGCCCTACTTTCTGTGAAATATTTCATATGAATTGAGTACACCATCTGCCTCAATTTGTATCTACTTCGATCTTAATTTCAGAAGGAAACTCCACTGCTTAAGCTGATTTTCTATAAATAAGATTTTAAAGAAAATATTCATAATTTTATTATTTTTCTTGCTACCTTTTCAGTTTGCGGAGAGAAGACGGTATCTGCAACACCTTTAATCGTGAATGGAGGCACTGTGGAAAAGGGAAACTATCCTTGGGTTACTGCCATCTTCCGACATAATGGTGAGATATTCCTGAATGTTTGCGGTGGCTCGATGTTGACACAAAAAGTTATTCTTACAGGTAAGTTCAAAACTTATTTTCATTAAGTCGGAAATTTATTCTCTAGATAGAAAAAGTTTCGCGTAGTGGAGTACTGGCTTGCTAAATGCGCCTCCACAGCACGCTTACGACAAGCAGTAGACATTTGTATGCACCTTTACTAGTCACGTGTTTTCTAATGCCCTCTTATGATGTACTGAAACCGTTTCAGTTGATTATTTTTTTGTTGTGGTTAACCCCCAACAAACTTATCGAAGCACGAAGCAGAAAGCGGAATTGTCTGTCCTGACATTATTATATCCTGATCGGGGACATTTATGTTTTTGAAGAAAACCGATGCCTGGGTTTTCATGGCATTGAATTGAACCTGGTTACTTTCACTCCAATTTGAAGTCACCTCTTGATCCTTATTAAGGTCTGCATAGTTCAAAAGCGACTTCACGTCACCGCGCCATCTCTTAGCGAACTTCTGCCGCACACAACGGTAGTAAGATACGTAGTAAAAGATCTTTTCCCATCAGCTCATAAGTTCAAGGTTAGGCAGGAGGGAAATGGAGGGCACCGCTCATTTCACTTTTTAAATATTCGTTCTCGATGTGAAGTTAGTTTTTTCAAGTATTTTTTCTAAGAGTGTGGTACGGAAGTCGCAGAGTATCGAATGGTAGAAGATTGCTTTGGGTTTTCAAAGAACTGTGCATTCCACGGGATCTTGCACCCGCATATTTTATTTTAGTGAAATATAGAATTAAATTATTTCTTACTTTCACTAAATTATGAATTTCGTTCAAATTCATTTTGTATTTTTCTCTCACGTCAAACTAAAAATTCAAATCTACGAATTTAAAATAGTAGGTGACGACAAATACCAACCGCTTTTTTCTGAAATATCAAATGTCACTAGTATCTAACCTACAAATATAAGAGTGTCACTAGGAGAAGCATTCGTTTTTAAATTCAGTTTTTTTATAAGAAAAATGTTGATTATTGAAGTGAAAAGTGTCAATGAAGGAGGAATGAGGTGTAAAGGTGACCTAGTGATTAAATGCTTGTGTTTTCAAAGAGTTTATTTGGTGAAAAAGAAGGCTGAAAAGTTGCCTTTTTCTGGACTTTGAAGGGCCGTAAGGGAGGCCCGTAAGGGATAGCGCCGCTTTTTTCTTTCGGATTCGTAATCTACGCATCAAAATACGTAAGTACAGTCAAAATTTTTTTCAAAATCGCCGGGTGTCCACAAAACGAAAATTTACCATTTTCATACCTCAGCCACCATATTCACCAAATTTGGGCCCCTGCGACTTTTCCCTCTTCTTAAGATTGCAGACGACCCATGAAAGGAAGGCGTTTGGCGACTATTGGGGAGTCAAAAGCCGAATCACTGAAAGAGCTCAAGACATACCAAAAAGTGCATATCAGAACTACTTTGAGAATTGGAAAAGACGCTGGACTACACTGAGGACTACTTTGAAAATTTACCTCTTTTTTCAACAGAATCGTACATAATCTATTAGTTTTAATTCATTTTTAAGATTAAGTATTGATGTTTTATCTGGATATAATGAAAAGAAGGTTTACTTTCGACAAATTTTGAAACATTTAGTTTGATTGGAGCATTTTCGAATGTGATACATACAAAGAGAGTAACTAATGGTTGTAATTGTAATTGTATTGTTTCAGCTGCCCACTGTGTGGCCAATGAGTATGGTCATGCTTTGGATCCTTCGATGATCAAAGTAGGAGTTGGGAAATTTTATAATGAGTACAAACATCCAAATGATACAGAAGCGCAGTATTCTGATGTGAGTTGGTCATATATCTTTCAAGTCACTAATCTTTTTGTCAAAAAAAATTCTCAAATTAGATTTGATTTGATTGCAGATCGTCAAAGTTATAGTCCACACAAAATATAAAGGGGACAGTCAACGTTTCTCTTCGGATATAGCCTTTTTGATAACCAAAGATGTTCTGCTGTTGTCGAAAGTAGTCCAGCCTGTATGTTTCAGTAACTTGCCGAATATTCATCTAACTGTTAGGTCAATTGGAGTGGTGAGTTTTTCATTTATTGTTGTGCGGGATTGGAAACGTACTTATCCATCGAAAATTTCAATTGCTTCACAGAAACTAATACTACTAGTACTGGCATTGTTATATATATGTATTTGTATCGCCCTGTATCGGGAATCCATATATTGGTATAAAAACCAGCTTTCTTTTTATATGTTTGTACCTCGATTCCCGACCCACAAAGGTTGAACACTTCATGTTTAAGGTTATTAATAAATCACACCCAAATTAGTGCAGTTTATTATTTAAATTCTATGTGAATATTCAAATTAATATCCATATAGACCATGCATAGTATGATTTTTTGTAGAAATACTAGTTCGATTAAGAAGTTGAAGATGTCCTTCAATATAACTTTCTCGTCCCTCCTGGTATGTGTATGTAAAACATACATACATTTGAAATTTCAAAGATGGGAACTGAACATGCTACAAAAAATAACCAATCAACCCAAATTCTGGGAAACTCCTGTTTTCAAATTAGATAGATTAAAACTGATGGTTGTGTCAAATTTTATGACAAACTCAATGGTTAAAACCGCATATCGATATCTGTTCATTTCTGAGTTACAACAACTTTTTGAAAATGCTAATTTTCGAAAAACATGCTGCAACTCAGAACCAGAATTTAGGTTGATTGGTTACTTTTGTAGCATGTTTAGTTTCCAACTTTGAAATTTTAAATGTAACACTTTGTATGTTTTTACATTTTTGGATAAAACAAATATATATATTCATGAAATAATCATATCCTTATTGAATTAATTTTTGAAAATTTTGAAAAAAGAAATGTGGGACACGTTCAAAGAAAGAGAGAAAGCAATCAATTTATAAAAAAGTCTCCCCAGAAAGATGGGGAGCAAAATACTCCTAATTATGATTTTCTGTATAGGAAAAGACTTATCATACACGTCCACTAACATGCTGTGAAATGATAAGAAAGTATTAACTTTGGCCAGAGTGCTCTCCCAGTCAATTCCGATACAATTCTGATAGAACGTATCATAGTTTGATCTACTATACAGTCTACCATGTTTACATATGGTATATTTCTTTGGCGACTCTGGAAGAACGGAACATAAAGCTATGTATGTTTGCGTATAGAATTTTAAGAAGCCATTTATTTTTCCGAACAATGGATATTTACTCATCTTGAAATCATTTACCCCTACCATGACAATTATATATCCATTTTGAAAGCCATATCCAAGATCATCACATAAGATTAGGATTTGAATTTTTTTTCAACTTGATTATTTTGTATGTCTTGACTGGAATTCAAATTCGTTTAGCCCAACATCTGTTGAAATATGAAAATTTCTCAAAGTTTCACATGAAGCTGCATGGACTTTATTTTCTTCCTCCGTTTTCCTGTTAGATATTTTTTCTTTCCTGTCATTTCTTGATAATATGTGCTTGGGTTGATCTTCATCTTTTGAATTCGGAATGATTTTTAATTTTAGTGAACAATTTTCTTGTTCCATATCTTCAGTTTCTTTCGAATTTGCTAGATTTTGTACTGAGAAAGTTTCTATGGATGTTAATTTTGTTAAGTTCATCCAATTCCTCCTTCAATTTTCTTCAATGTTTCTTCCAATTCAACTTGGTAATTTTCATTACTCAGTGCTAATTTGTTTTTTTTTTTCAGATTTGAGTTTAGCCATTTCATTATCTTGGTTATTTAATTCACTTAGAAGATCCTCTTCCAAACTGGCAACTTCATCTTCAAAATCGGTTGAAGCTCTTCTTAGTCTCTTTATATAAGTGTCTTTTTCCTGATTATCAATAATCAATTTTTCCATTTCTTCATGTAGATACTTCTTCAGCTTGTTGATAAAATATCTATAGCCAGTCTTCAAGTACGCCCACTGACTATATGAGAAAAAGTACTTTCGAAACAAATACTTTTATATGAACACTGAATCATACAAAAAAACTTTTCTCTATACAATTTATATTCCAAACATGGAATCTTTATAAAAAATATGGGAAGAAAGCAATTAACTTCAAAATATATATTATTATTATTATATTATCTATAAGGATGTGTAGATCATGTAAAGGTAGAGAAATAACTTCCAGACCCGAACTGGCAGAAAAAGCCGTCTCAAGATAACTACTTTCATAAAAACATTGAATTCGTGTAATTTAAGCCAAAATCTTTCTTTTCCAAAGAACGTATCTAATTATTAAAAACTTTGAAATATGCCTATACTTTCCAAACGATATGATGCTATATTTATTTAGTGATTCCATTATTAGGTTACAGGTTGGGGCTATACTGAGGCTGGAAAAGGTCCTTCGCCAGAACTAAAAGAAATATCCGTTCCATTCAAAGATGACGCCACCTGCAATACAGAATTGCCATCTGATTGGGCAGACAAATACAACGGTTATGACAAATTCTGCGCAGGACATTACAACAAGAGTAAGTTGTAACCTAACCTAACCTAACCTAACTTAACCCCCATTGAGATAAGTGTTCAGATTGGCTATTTCAGCTTCAAAATGTATTTGTTATGAATTCATTATTATTAATATTAATTTATCATGATCTGAGAATCTGATCATCGGGGTTTTCTATTTCTGATAGAGCTTCTTCATTGGAGCTTTTCTCATTCGTCATTCGCGATAACTTTTTCGCAAGTTATTGTAAACTTTGGCCTGTATTGTGCTATCCCTCCGCTAGCTTCATACTTGTGAAATTTTAATTTTTCTAATAGCTTAGGTCATCTATCGATTGAAAAGGGCTGCCTAGAAGTGGTAATTTGAGTTTTAGAAAAAAATCTGCCGGAGCCATATCAGGTGAATACGTTGGCTGTTCGATAGGTTTGTTGAGTTTTTGGTCAGAAATTCGTTCACAATGATAACCTTGAATGGTGTGTTATTTTGGTGCAAAATCCATGAGTTTTCTTTCCACATTTTTGGTGTTTTTCGACGAATTTGTCGCATAACGTTCAGATAATATTTTTTATTTACTGTCTCACCTTCTGGCACCGCGGTTGGAGATTTGTCACTTTATTATAGATACTTTCACGTAAGGTGTTCAAGTGACTTGGCACATTTGTTTCCATGGGACGGACTATGGTTGTTCATCGTTGTGAGTTTCGACTCAGTACACCTCGGACCTCACTGTTTAAGAACCCTTTCATTTCGAGAACTTCGTTTACGTGGAATAAATTTCCTAAGAACGTTTTTTCTATATGAATTTAATTTCCAGCGATTCAAATCCAACGTAAATCACTTATTTTGCACCGCTCTTAGAGCGCTTCAAGAATTTTTCTGTAGTGCTTGTGGTTTGCCCTTCAAAAATAGTAACTGCAAGTTCACTTTTTTGCAATCACCTGAAAAAATTGTACTTTTTTGAAAGACGCAGGACTTAAATCCGGTGATCTAGCGACCCATTCGGCTGAACCATCCAATATAACAATTTGGTATTTTCAACAAAATTATTCTACTCACTCTCAAGTATGTCCACTCTACACATATTAATTTTTTGTTGTAGGCATAGCAGTATGTCAAGGAGACAGTGGAGGTGGTCTTGTATTCCAGAACCCAAGAGATGGAAGGTATTATGTCCACGGTATTGTGAGTGTGGGACGGAAATTGAATAATGTTGGATGCGACATACAAGTTAGCAGTCTGTACACAAAAGTTGCAGTACATTACGATTTACTAGAGCAGGTTGTTTCACAATATACAAGACTATGAATCTCAAAATTAAACAATTTACAATTTTTGACCTTGTTTTATTAATTGATAGAAACATCTCTAGTATACTTCACAGATAGAATACCGGCAAAGTCTAGTTGGTCAATTAAATTGACAGAAGCAGAGCCACAAATCAGGATTTGAGTTCTATTGAAAAGACATTTTCCCGCACAAGAACAATAATATTAGCTCTAGAGGCGAGACCCGCTAACCAAGTTAGCATCATCAGGCACTTCATTACGTGAAGAATATGAATTATTGATAAAGTCCTCGCATCTTAGTTAGTGTTTTTATCAGTCAATTATACTTGGTAAGTGAATTGAAATGGCTACAGTTGATGTATATGATCATCTGTCGATGTATATGACCCTATGATAGGTACACCAAAATTCTTCGTATACTGTTTTTGAAAATCTGTTTTTCCGTTAATCAGCTGTCGCCCCCATAAGAACAACAACTCTTAGAAGTTGAGAAACTTGTGCGAGCTAAGGACTAACGAGGTCTTACCTTTTAACGTGTGATTCCAATTCTGGTGGAAAAGGGCAACAAACTATCCATAGGCAGTGCCGGCTAGGGATAGTTTGTCACACATACATATACGTAATTATATGAAAACACTTACACACACACCTACATATATATTTTGGGCAAAAAGCCTGACAGAATTTTTTTTTATAAAATTTTATTTTATTATTCAATATAGTTGCCTTTAGCCTCAAACTAGGCCTCTGTTTCGACAAGTACCTCTTCTTCGGCGCTAAACGTCTTTCCAGCGAGCATTCTCTCGAGGTCTGAGAACAGAAAAAAGTCGCTGGGGGTCAGATCTGATGAATTCGGTGGATGCACAAGCAATTAGAAGCCCTACTCATATAATTTAGCCATCGTTTTCATTGATTTATGACACAGTGCATTGTCTTGATGAAAGAGCCCTTTCTTTTTCTTCAAATGGTGCCGTTTTTTAGCGATTTCGCGCTTCAATGCTTCAATTCTGGTGTGAAATAATGGAGCCATGTTTCATCTATTGTCACATATCGACGCATAAGTTTGTGTTTTTCAGGTATTTTCTGATATCTTTAGAACCTCAGCTTCCTCAATAACTTCACTTTGCGGTCATCCAAAACTCAAAAGTGGAAACTTTGCGAGTTGACTATTAGGAAGATCTTACCTTTCAACGTGTGATTTCAACTCGTATATCAATTTATTTCGAAAGTTCATTGAGGGAGAATAGATACCGTCTTCTTATATTTATTTCATGAATACTATCAAAATATCAAACATTCCAATTAATATTCCTAGTAGGTAGTTTTCATGTTTCATATTGGCTCACTTCCCAATCTGGTTCCGTTCCAAAAATTTAGGTACCTCCACAGCTCCACAAGGGCTTCTTACTCGCACATGGTCTTGATGATCTGTGTCTGGTACTCCAGCTATGAAGTTGTTCAAGATTTTCATATCAGATTTGTACCTTCTGGCTCGTAAAGTGCTCCTCAAGAATATCTCTTATAGTCTCCCCTCCTCCTGTATTCGTGTACACCCCCTGTTCTCGCCTTTCTTTTATTTTTTTTTCGCATACTATTTGGAGGGTGGTAGAGGTACCTCTATCTTCTATAGTTTACAATACCTTTCTAATATTCAAGGTCCCATTCGAGGCGACTGCGATTGTTGGGTCCTTTATTATTACACAGTATACGTACCTCGGATCTCTCTGTCACACATTTCCACGGGCATTGAAATTCAAATCTTTAAAGTTCGCAAACTCCTAATAGGACCGAATTTTCTGGAGAGAACCCTATATGAACGTGTTCGCAATGAAACAGCGTTTATGATGATATAACATTTTTTTTATTATCTAATCTAGTGAAAGTAACTGGCATCGATATACCTGTTTATACCCAACAAACCAGTAGTTCGCCTAGGTAAATAATAGACAACCCAACGGCTGCACATTCTATACGTTTGTATACTTCAAGTAAGTACAAAAATTTTCTTATTATCTTGATGTTGCAAAATTCAATTAAAAATAATTTTTCAAAAAATAATTAGAAATAGTCTGTCCAGGATTTTTTTAGCAAACCCATTTTTAACATATTTTCTAATATACTAAATTCATTATAAAATATATTTCATTCTATTATCAGCTCGGTGAAGGTCGATTTAGGTTCGGATCATAGACTATTACTTCTATCCAGTCAACATTCAACTGCTCTCCACCAAAAAAGTTTTGAATATCAGGGATGCAAACTGTATAACAAACTTCCCGACGACATTAAAGTTTCAGGAAATGTACATATTTTCAAGAGAAAAGTTAAGCAACTCTTATTATCATAAAACTGCTACACTGTTGAGGAGTTTCAGCCGTAACTTTATTTCCATGTGAAGTGTACGGGTCATTTCATATGTATATACATTTTCTTATCATTATCATTATCATCATCATTTCTCTACTTGAATTTTTTGACGTTTCTCTCTTTTTTATTTGCATTATCACACTGTTGATGTGCAAACTAATTTGGGAAAATAAAGAAATTATTATTATTATTCTTTTCAAGAGTATTTATTGAGACCTAAAGTCCCTTAGAGAGTGTATTATAGTCTGGCGCAGTATGTTCAACCTCCGCGCATTGTTTCCGTCATGATTTTCTCAGAGCATTTTTATAATCGTCTACAGTACCTTTGGTGTTGATTTCAGATACCGGATTTCCTTGCCCCTTCAGATGGTTTCCTAATTTGTTGTCTCATTCGAGACAGATTTTCATTTCACCAAAAACAAATCCTGTTCAATCTCTTTGTTAACGGTTGAACAATTTTTGTTGTACGTAGAGATAAAAGCTGCGGCAAACTCTTGGTCTGTAGACTCTCTGATTACAAAACCCATCCGGTCTTGCAATTTTTCAGATCTGCCTATAGTCTTCCCTTTGCTTTCTAGGACGCAACTGAAGAACATAGATAAACAGGAATTCAATCATTTTTGCAATTTACGTTTCAAAGTCATAACTAAACTACTGACTTAATATATATTTTTTTCTTTCAACCGTTTCTTCCACAACAGAACTAAATAAAATAACTTTCATTTGAAGGATAACCAGAAAACCAGTGCAATTGAGCTGTAGTTGTGTAGCTATCGAGCCTGTGGTTCCACAGGCTCTCGTCTGGTATTTATGTCCCTGGACGATTGGAGGGGCGATGGTTGGTAGCTGGATCGGGAGTGTGATTTGCAGAAACGAGTTATGGAATTTTGTGAGATGTACTGAGTGACAATAATGAGTTAATAATGGTGAAATCATTTCGTTTGTTAATGCAGTGGAATGTTATTCCATTTCAATAGCTTCGCAGATTATCCTGACCTGGAGAGTTTTTTTGGTGGCAATGAGTTTGGTCCGTATCACGATGGTATTAACAGATGAGGCTGGATCTGATTTACGAACAGCAAGCTCGTGTTCATCGTTCTATTGAAGACTTTTCTGTTGGTTTGGCCGATGTAAGTTCTGGAGCAGGTGGAACATAGCATTTCGTTTATGCCCTTAGGGTATGATTTTCGAAGAAAAATGGAAATTTAATTGTTGGCTGTGAATACCGTTGTTACATAGTGCCTCTTCAGAATTCGGCTTCCTTTGTCCTCTATGGATATGAGGAAAAAAGCTGTTGGCTGATCCATCTGTTAATGAGCTGTAGGGTACGTGTTTGCTGAAATTGGATGGATCTTTGAATCTGGGGATTAAGGTAGTCGTTTTAGAGAAGGGCGGACTTGAGTTCGTCTAGTTAGGTACTTGAATTTTTTGTGGTTGTCAGTGAGTTTGATGGATCTGTGTATGAGAAAATTCAAAACGAAATTCAACAGAGCAGGATGATGATGGGTCTTAGCATTGACGTAGCGGTTGGTATGGGTTGGTTTTAGGTAAACAGTGTGTGAGAAAGAATTGATGGATTTCTTGATGAGAAGGTCCAGAGAGGAAAATGAGTTGTTTATTATCCTAGAGATTTCGAAAATTCATCAATTAATGCATAATTAATATATGGAGGCGTATATTCTTATTGTTATTGTTATGAAGATTTCTAGGAATAATTTTATAACCTATTATTGGAATTTCCATGTTTACATTATAATCTTATTGGGATTATCCACCATTCAAAAATCCTTGCAAACAGGACCGGCTATCTAATATTTGTTATTTCCACAAAATTATTGAAAATTATGTAACTGCCAATAATTTTTGCAGTGACAAGTGTTGCAGATCTATATTGGATAAACTTCTAATCCACACCTTGTTTATTTGATCTTTGCGTTTCTCGAGTAGATTTTCGAAAGCAATGGATGATTGATTAATAATATCCAAAATCACACTAAACCCTTGTAGCCTATATGTTATTCTGATGTATAAGCTGTATTTATGTACAGTTTCATCTTAATCCGTTCAGTCGTTTAGGCGAGAAAGAGCCACAAACATACATACATCCATCCTCACAAACTTTCACATTCGTAATATTAGAATAGATACGAAGTCAGTTTGAATGGCATGAAAACTAAATAGTTACCGAATGTCAGCAGTTTGTTTGTAAGGCATGGGCAGCGTGGTATAATTTTATTTTTATGTGGGAGGTTTTATATGTTATTAATTAGTGAATATATCAGATCCGGTACATTATTAGTCTTTCATTAGCTGTTCGGATTTACTTCTTATAGACTAGTCTTTCTCAAAGTGGGCGGTAACGCCCCCTTGTGGGCGTTAGAGGCCTATAGGGGGGCAGTGAAGGGCACATTGAAGATTGGGGGGCGTTGAAATGCTTTAGGGAGGCGATGGGTAATTTAAAAATGTTTTTTTGCTTTTAACACAAACTTTACCGTAATGTAACTCGACGATATTACGAAAACAAATGAATTTAGTTAGCGACTAGCTAGGTAAAGGGCTGTACGTGCGGTGGTGAATACTGTGAGTGATGTCATTAGCAAGTTTTTAATACTCGATTCCTTACTTCGGCATTTTCGAAGACAAAATTATGTCAGAAGCAAAGAAGAAGAAACGGCAGTATAGCGCGGAATATATAAAATATGGATTTATTGGAAATCCCACAAATCCATCTTCGCCTGTGTGCCTTCTTTGTCAAAAAACATTTTCGAATAAAGCGATGAAACCCTACAAGATCATTTGAATAAAATGCATTCAGATAAAAACGACAAAAGTGTGACTTATTTTTAAGAACTGCAAAACAAACACTCAGCTCAGCGAACTGTGTCAAAACTTTTTTCATCGGCTTCTAAGACGATGACGGACTCCGAGTTTCCTACAATATCTCCTTGCTTATTGCTCAAATAGGTAAACCTCACACTATTGGAGAGGATTTAATTCTACCGGCAATAAAAGAAGTAATAACTACTGTGCTCCATAAACCAGCAGCAGATATCATCCGAAAAATTCCTTTGAGCAATAGTTCCGTGCAAAGACGAATTGATGAAATGGCTGGAAACATTGAAGAGTCATTGTGCAATCATCTGAAGACTTCTAAATTCTCAATTCAGTTAGATGAGTCCACTTTACCAATCAATGTTGTCATACTGACTCGATTTTACAATCTATTTGACTCTGTAATAGGGTTCTTGGAAAACAAAGACAAAGAATTGCACGACAACCTCATCACTTCAAAAAATAACAGACCTGTATACATTTTTCAATGATGCCAATCTCCAACTTCAAGGTGACGACTTGAATTTGATTGAAACAAAAAATGTCATTGCTGCTTTTGTAGCCAAATTGCTCTTATACAAGAATAATATCGGCAGACGTGAGTTTCGCAATTTCCCTAATTTGTCAACAGTATCCTTCAACAACGACGACTTGCTTGTTCACTGCCAACATTTGGAGAACCTCCACAGTGATTTCGCAAAACTATTCCAGGGCATTTTAAAATTGGAAATACCGGACTGGGTGTTTGATCCTTTTTCAAATATCAACACAGCAGGATCACCCCAGCTGGAAGAAGAACTCATAAAATTGATAACGAACGAGGAAATAGAAATAAATCCAAAAATATACATTTCAAAACTCGTACGTACGCCACTGGCAGAGAAAATTAAGAAAATTGTACATCAGAAAATGCGCCTTGAGGCATGGAACATATGTACCAAATATGCCAGAGATATCTACAAAATTATCTCAGTTATTATTAAAATACTGATTATTTTTGACTCTGTAATAGGGTTCTTGTAAAACAAAGATAAAAAATTGCACGACAACCTCATCACTTCAAAGAATGATAATGCGTACTTGACAGACCTGTATAAATGTTTTAATGATGTCAATATCCAACTTCAAGGTGACGACTTGAATTTGATTGAAACAAAAAATGTCATTGCTGCTTTTGCAGCCAAATTGCTCTTATACAAGAATGATATCGGCAGACTTGAGTTTCGCAATTTCCCTAATTTGTCAACAGTATTCTTCAACAACGACGACTTGCTTGTTTACTACCAACATTTGGAGAACCTCCACAGTGATTTCGCAGAACTATTCCAGGGCATTTTAAAATCGGAAATGGCGAACTGGGTGTTTGATCCTTTTTCAAATGTCAACACAGCAGGATCACCCCAGCTGGAAGAAGAATTCATAAAATTGATAACGAACGAGGAAATAAAAATAGAATTAAAAAATGGATACCAAGAATTTTGGCTACAAAAGCCAATCCCGCAATGGTACCCTGGATTGTGGTCCATCGATTAACGATTTTTGATAGCATTCATCAACAAATTCATCCTTCACATTAAATTAGTTTCATTTAAATTGAAATGTTTGTTTTATTAACATGACACACATAATTTGATTATTAAAATAATGACTGCAATTGGGATTCTGAAGATGTAGTGAAGTAAAAAAATTTGGGGAGCACTAGAAAATAATTAATTCTCGAAGTGGGCGGTAGACAAAATAAGTTTGAGAACCGCTGGTATAGACTATACATTATTTTAAAAGTGGTTTCTATTAGTTCCCTGAAATGTATAATGATCACTTTGATAAAAGATGGTTGGCATACAGTGGCAAACATGTAATATGGATTCAGACATTTGAAACATTTTTTCCTCACACAATAACGTCACATGATGTTAACATAACTTCGAAGACGTGCAAGTGCATTTCTGCGATACACCGTGACCTTGATGCGGATCTGCCTAGTTGTATTCTTCTTATTTCCAAACGGGTTATCATAGGTAATCCCACGAGTTCATGGCGGGAGATTTACAAGAAAATATTTACTAATTTCAATCAGTTAGCAACTGAGTGAGCAACAAGTTACGACAATTGAAGAAAATGAAGTACTGTTTCGAAAATTACCTGCTTTTTTTCTGCACTCTGATTGGTGAGTTATCTTTTTCTTTAAAAGGAGTTTTCGAACGATACAGAGTTGGTTTCGATAATTATTTTCAAGCTATATTTTATACGACAATTGTTACTGGCATTACTATTATTGTTATGATTATTCATTCGAAATACATAAAACTCTTGAAATCTTTCTGAATCAACGCAAAGAGTTCGTGCGCTATAACGGCTTCAACTGGGATATGTCTATAACTTCTAGTGGAGTACCTCAAAGTTGTCTTTTGCCCCATTTCATTTTATATTCATTTTCTAATCAAATTTTCATTGGAGTGATACTTTATTGTGGTATTTTCACGTAATTAGTGCTTCATATAATAAATCCACTTGAATAATATTACTTTCTATCTAATTAATGTCTTCCAATTTTTTCAAATGATTATTTTTTTATTAGATAGAAGGTCATATGATTCAAATCGATATTAGTGCTATCGATTTGAATTAGAATTCAATTAGTATGAACACGCCTGATGAAGATATGGTATTAAAAAACACGTGTTGCGATTTTGTAAACAATCTCATAAAGAAGCGTTATTGCAGTACTTTATAGATTTTCATCAATATCATGGTATATGTTTCAGTTTTTTGTTGATTCATCAGTTCAGAGTAGATAACATATGTAGAATTCAAAAGTTTTCCGAGGAAATACGAAAAAAAATAAATAAAAAAAATCGCTAATCGAAATGTATGCATCACCATATTTTTTCAACAGCTCGGTATGTTTAAAAAATTCCCTACTTCCAAACCGGAGAATTCGTTTCAAAATATACAGTTTTTAAAGACTTGAACGCCAGAGATCCTGAATCAACCTCGGGCTCAAGTAAGCTGTTTTATTTTTCTTATTTTGAAATATTCCTGTTATGAGTCATGGAAAAAGTATATTAGTCTACTTGCGAGAATGACACGCATGCACACACCAATTGAACAAGCTTTTAAATAATAGAATACTATCAAGTTATGTTCGCTGCTGTTTTGAACAAATCTAAATATACCTTATAGTATTTCTAAAATTAATATCATGTTTTAAATACCTTTTCAAAATTGTTATCGCACATGCACATTCGTGAGAAATATCTCAGGTTTTCTACTGATGACATCCTGAGTTTCATGAACTTAAGATTTATTATAATACCTCATGAAAAAATCTAGAGAGTTAGATCTAGATGTCTTGGGTGCCACTCGATAGGCCCTCTTCTTCTGTCTATTGTCATACGACAATTATTTTATAGTGTGGCGGAATGCCATCTTGTTGGTAACAAAGGTGTTTGATTTTCTAATCGCCATTAAAGACTCTATCACACTTTCCATTTTTTTATATATACAAGGATAGATGGATAATAGTTCCTTAATTTCTTTTCCATAAAATATGTGCCACAAAATTCCCTACTCTTTGATTCATGCGTATGTTTTTTTTCAATGTTAATAATATAAAGCCTCAACAGTTTTAGAGCAAATCGTTATTTCCAATGGCCTTTCTGTGGAATCTACACATACCTTGAAAACTAGAAGGCAAGCCGATAAGCAGAATGGGTGAGTTTTTAAATGAAATAAATTACATAACTTTGCTTAGAATAACAAAAATATATTTTACCTGTTATTTTGTCATTTACTATTAATTGTCCTCTTTCACTTATAGGTATTCTTACATTAACGATTTTTATATGGGTTGGTTAGTCGAAAACTCTTGAAATGTTATAGGGCTATACCACATTAACTTTTTAATTAATATAGGTATTGAAGAGATTCCTCATTTCAGTTTTTTTTTTTTCAATTCTACAGGTGTCGCTGCCCATATCGTTTTAGTAAATGTTGCTTGAATGTAATTTTCTGAAAGAAAAGAGTTTGTTTCTGTGAAAGCTTGTGTAAAATTCATTCAAGTGTAGAAAAAATGTACTTCTGAGCTTCCTCACAAAAATTCTGTTTTTATTACATCACCCACAGAGTTGGAGAAAATTGATTTTCTCCAATATTGATGATTTAAAGATAATGAGTCTTACATATGAACAAAACCGTCAATAATTTTACCCGATTGTTTCGAAACTTACAGCGACAAAGTTTATTGCCATCACCATTAGTGTCAGTAATATATCTTCTTCCAGAAAGAATGATTAGGTTCAAATCGTGATACAAGTAATTACAGTTTTTTCGTGAACCTCTGAATATTGTTTGTAAGAGATTCACCAAAATACTGTAATTACGTGTGTCGAAAATAATCGGTCTTGCTGAAAGATGAGGTATTACTACAATAAATTCATCTGAATGGTTTGACAGATACTATTTCAGTTAACGATCCATTTCAATATAATATTCCACAATATCCTACCCGATGTTAGCAATTGTTTAATAACACATCACTGACAAATACAAATTTCATGAATTTCTCACTGCATCCTTGTATAAATAACGAGATTATTATTATTAGTATGCTAATCTGTTTACTCTGTTTTTTCAGGGAATGTAAACGACCAAATCAACCTGTAAATGGAAATTATATCAATTTACTGAACACAACAACTGACTCAGATACTTTTCCAAAAAATACGGTTTTGTCATATAGCTGCAATAAAGGATATACGTTATCCAGAAGTCATAAGTTTATTGTTTGTGTTAAAGGTAGTTGGGACGCAGAGCAGCCGACTTGTTTGAGTTAGTATTTATATATGTAATTATTCATTCATTTGGTGTGATGAACACTATGAAACTGGGTGATTTAGATGAAGCAGATTAATTAATGAAGTATGCCCTGTATTCAGAACTAAAAAAATCACCGATCTATAGGAAAATAAAGTAGATAGTCATAACGAAGGTCTTTTCAGTCCGTGAATCCAGTAGAACAAGCACATTCTCAACACTGCCCAGTCAAAGTCAAATACATTTCCCTTCCAGAAAAGATATGTTCCAAAAGTAACAGAAAATGCGGTTTTGTGTTTCTAAAATTATTGCTATTGTGGTTCTACTGAACAATGGGTTAGACAGTTGACAGATGACGAGTTTGGATTCCCTTTAATGTTGTTTTGAGAAAAACAAAAAATGTTCTGAACCAAATAGTTTTTTAATTAGAGAGTGAAAAATTATATTATATTCCACATATCTAGATGAGCATAATGATATGATTTCCACAGCATAAGTATTTTCAAAAATATACAGGGTATATCAACGATAGGTGGGGGGACGATAGCTGCTTCTCTATTGGAGAAAAAAAATCGAGAAAAAGTTATAGAAATTAATGGAAGCTGTGTTTCAATAATTATAACTAATTTACAGGGTGTCCAATATATGTGTGATAGAACTGACAGACCAAACTTATGTTTCTGCGTCTTTTTCGCTGTCACTGCTTTCTTGATTTTCTGGCTCTTGCATTGAACAAGTTACGATGTCGTTATCATCCAGGATTTCGTAGCCCCATGTCATTTTCATCAAGATACAACCATTCCACAGCATCAGTTTCGTCGCATTCTTGAAAGTCTGGAATTGACTGGCATTACATGGGCATTTGTCACACCCTCAAGCGTTTCAGACTGATTTTCATCGATGTCATCATCTGATTGTCCGAGCGTTTGGATTTCTGGTGTTCGGATTATTGTCGGTTTGCTGTGGTTATTTTTGGAACATATTTTAAATATCATCAGATAATCCCAAAGAGATATTGAAAATTGTGGTAGTGGAATTCTCAGATACCTGCATATACACCAATTTCAAATGGGGAGAGCAAATTGACCATACTTGTTCCATAACAAGTTTATTAAAGGTTTGGTTCTACGAAATTCAGGTTCTAGGACGTCAAGATCAAGCGCAATTGATATAGAGCATTCTGGTTTATTGAGGATAATTTCGGATTGATGAATCCTCTGTTCTGGTTTCGACTGCGAAATGATCCTAAACTGTCTTGAACCTTCCCGAATCGTTCTTGCTCTCGAGGCTGAACTGTTGAGAACTGTTCCCGTTGCTCATGCGCATTCATGTGTAATTTTTATATAGTTGAAAATTGTTTTATATAAACATATATTGTAAAATAATAGATAAGGCAAAATTGTAAAATTAATTTAGGTTGGTATACCTGTATGGTTGGTACGCCTGGATGGTTTACCTGTATGGGTTACCTTTATAGCATAAATAGGATTAGCTCGCACTAGTTCTTAGTTTTGATCTTCCTCTTTGAAGATGATCATTTGGTGATCGAAACACGTGTCGAGGTGTTAAAAAAATAACGATTTGGTGTTGGGAAAAAACTCCAGTAATATTCATTACTATACCAAAGGTTCCAAACAGTGCATCATAAATATTCGATAATAATAAATAATAATAATAATGACTTGAGGTACCCGACAAAATAGTGAGATGCATTGAACAACTGAAACCACCATAAGCGAACCACCATAAGCGAACTCGCTTCACCATAACATCTGGTCAAGCCAGAGTCCAAAGAGGGTGGGTCACTTTCAGAAAAGGTGTATTTCAGGGTGATTCCCTCAGTCCCCTTCTCTTCTGCATCTCACTATTGTCATTATCCTTTGCGCTCAGAAATACTCGAGGGTATAACTGTGGCACCCCCGGAAACCGGACGCACAAGGTCACCCATTTGGGATGATCTTAAACTTTATACCTCTGGAGAGAAGGATCTCCATCAGTCCTTGAGGGTGGTGGAAGAGTACACGCATGCTATCGGTATAAAATTCGGGATAGACAAATGTGCAATGGTCCATCTTAAAATATGACGATGCGGGGACTACGAAGAGGATATGCAGCTCGTAGATGGAAGCATCCTACACCATCTGGATGCCGGAGAGACGTATACTTACCTGGGGGTGGAACAACGCCACTCACAAGAGGTAACAGCAGTGAAGAACTCTATCCGCAGCAAGTATCAGCACAAACTTCGACAGTTCTGATCATCGGAACCGTCGGGGAAGAACAAAGTTGCTGCAACAGATATGCCTGCCGTTCCAATCTTACTCTACTCGTTTGGAGTAGTGAAGTGGACTCGGGAGGAGCTGTATCAACTCGACGTAAAGACCCGAAAAATGATGCATTTCTATAGGAGTTTGCATCCCAAATCGTTCGTTACACGGTTGTACTTTCCCCGACAACAGGAAGGCCGTAGACTTTTGAGTTTGGAGTGTCTACATGACAGAATGGTACTGGATATAGCCTGTAAAGTCGTAGGAGGTCGGATCCCCTTCTCTGCATGGTCCGTGACCATGAGAGAGCAGGAATTGGAGCATTTCTCTTTAGGGCAGCTAGGTCAAATCTGATGTTGCTTGTAATAGTTTGTTTTCCTCGAAACCAAACTTGAGATGTAGATTCTTATATGCATTGAAACATACTCTCTGTGTTCAAATATTCAAATGCATCCCAATCTTATCTCTTTTTCGCATTGTTCACCATTGATATTGGAATCACTACACTGGAAAAAGTCGGCGTTGTTATCACACTCGTTATTACTATTAGTATTTGTCCAAAGACGCCACATTTCAAACAGATAACACAAATTTTACGCAATTATAACTGCACCAATATCGAATTCCAACACTCAAATCGCGATCAGTTCCTGAAATGAACATTGACGACACAACGGCGATACTCATCCCCACATTCTATTCGTCACCGTAACATGACTTCAAATTTAATTTTATGACTCTTCAGCCAATCATAGAACTCGGTTATTAAAAATTATCCAATGCGAACCGCCAATTCTACAGTCCACGTGGACTAGTTCTCAGCGGCATTATTTCTCTGTATTGGTTTTTTTGTCCTTTGAGATGCCGATAGCTTTAAGTATTCACAATGAAGGTTACTTCGATTATACCTCCAGTTATTCTCAGACCAATAAAAAACGTTTATATTCAATTTTTATATTTCGTAATATGTTACAATAATGATCAATTAGTTTTATTCAAAATGTTTCAGTATGTGGACAGAAGAATCCGAAATCCAGTAGCAATAAAGTAGTAGAGTACCCGTGGGTTGCAGCCATCTTTATGAAAAAAAACAACGAATTTATTAATATTTGTATTGGGACATTGTTGTCCGAAAAAATTATAATAACCGGTGAGTACATTGTCAATGTGTAGGATACACAAAAAATACAATGAAATATTTTTAAAATGGTCCGAGTTGAACCGAGTCTGTAATTTTCATTTTTCCAACGTTTCGACTTATGCTTCGAAGCCATTTTCAAGAACTACTTGAAACTGAAATTACATGACTCGAAGACGGGGTCGTAATCTACCTGCCCCCCAAATCTCGTCACTGACTTTGTTCTTTGTCCCAAGTGAACATTGATAACCTTGTTGATCGGGTCCAGTATTTATGCTGCTGGACAGTGGAGGTACCGTAATAGGTATCCGACCTGCCAGAAATGGAATCTTGACTTTCTAATTGACGTGGGTTTCTTTGAGATACGTCGCGACAGAATAATGACCTTCATAATTGCGGTAGTCTCTGTGAATCATCTCGTTTGTTAAAAGAGACGGGACGTTTTTTAATTTCAATGGCTTCACGAATTATCCTGGCCCGAGGAGTTTTCTCCGTAGTAATGGTTTTGGTGTTTCCGAAGCTTATTGTGTGGCCTGTTTCGAAATGGTGTTACTTTTCACCAGCAAAATCAACAGCTGAATCCTACGCGGACTTTTTGAGAGACCATTTCGCCCATTTCGTTAGGGGAAGCACCCATGCTTGTGAGAGTACACACATGTGGTTTATGCTCCAGCACCTTTTAGTGATCTTGCTCGTCAGCGTTTTGACATCACCTTCCTAATCGCTGGATTGGACGTGCAGAATCTCAAAATTGACCAGCTCGCAGTCACGATATGAATCCTCTAGATTTATTTTCAGGGGTGATCTGAAAATTCTTGTTTATAAAACTCCTGCTATTCTTTAAACAAGTCAGACAATAAATGATAAATCGATTGCAGTCGTTTTTTTATTAGAAGATGATTATTTTGTTCATTTTCTTCNAGGGCTGGTCTTATACCGTCAGGCCCTGGTGACTTGAAGGGGGAAAAGCTCGATATAGCCCATCTTATTTTGTCCTCATCAATTACTGTACTAGCATATTGCCAGTCATATTGTGAGGGTGTTATTGGTACATCCGTCCAGTTCGCCGTTCCAGGAAAGACAGAACCTGGGAAGTGAGTTTCCATAAGAATCTCAGCACTCTCCTGGAGGTTGGCGGCTTTGTCGCCATTTTCCCTCGTCAGGATGCCGATAGTCTTATGGTGATCATTTGAGAGTGCCTTCTGTAGCCTAGAAGCTAGTGGAAAGTCTTCGACTGCCTCACAATAGGCTCTCCAGGCTTCTCTTTGCTTTCGTCTGCAGACTTTTTTGAACTCTCTGAGGTGGGCTTGATATATAACCCAGTCCTCTTCGAGTCTTGTACGTTTTGCCTTGTTACATGCATACATACAAACATTCGTACATACATACGTACCTGGAGTTCCAGGTTATCTTCATAAAATAGATGGTTGACCTTTGAGCTTCTGTCACAGCTAAATCTACGATGGGCTGAGGAAAACAGTACCGAAAAATCCCTATTAGAAGATAACCTGCTCTCTTGAGACCACATAATGATTATATAAGCCTTCACAAAATTTGTTCCTGAGATATACAACTTCGACGAGCAGGTGCTCCAAACATCCATCGAATACATGCTAGAAAGCATCAACAGAGATCCGTTTTTTCTCTCAGTGAAACTCTCGAAACACGACGAAATCAGTTTGTCTGTCGCTTTTTGCGACATGAATTGAAAAGAGACGCACACATTTTGTCGTATGCGACATTTTCATTCGTGTTTGAAGAATTTCAACCCAAAAACCTTTCAGAACAATCAGCTAAGCTGGACTGATACGTGAAAATCATTTCTGATTTCAGGTTCAAAACGTGATAGTTCATCGAAGGTTCAGAGGAGATAGTCAACGTTACTCATCAGATATAGGATTTTTAATAACGAAAGATACTTTCCAATTATCAATCGCTGTGCAACCTGTATGTTTTAGAAACGTAAAAAACATTCATCTAACCAATCAATCCAGAGGAATAGTGAGTATTCTTGTCGATAATATTACTCAAATTTAAATGAATTATTTGTGGTTTTGAATATTATATGTCAAATTGTAAACCTTATCATTTCAGGCTATTTTACTAGTATAATCAATATAGTTAATCCTTTCCAGATTTTTTGTCAGAAAAAATCTGATAAATCAACCACAATCTATTTTATATATAGATTATGTGGGGTACTTTTGTGAAGAATACTATAAACGTTTTCGTTAGATTTCAGGGTGGGGATTTCCTTCAAAGAACGGCGGGATGTCGGATGAATTAGAAGAAATTGAAATGGTATACAAAGATGAAGCTACATGCTTCTCAGAATTGCCACGCGAATTTTTAGATAAGTATTACGGATATGATAAATTCTGCGCAGGATTTTACGATAATGGTAAGTCCTTCAAAATATGAAAAGGTCCAAGGTCCACCACTTTTTGTCATAGTTTTAATATTTCCGACAGAGGTCACACCAGCATTATAAACTTTCCTAAGTGTATTCTTCTTCTTCTCTTTTTGTATCGTCTTTGCTTCTCCTACGGCGCAGTAGACAAGTTACTGTGTATTGTTCATAACTGCAATTAATTTTTTATTTGTGTCCTTTACCTNAACTCCTTTGTTAATTTCATAAATACTAAACATAGAGATTCAACTTATGGACGATGAAAGACAATGGAACTATTTGAATACAACGAGAATAACGTGCTTTACATAAAATAATAACACAGTCTGTCCATATATTCCAGAAATTTAACAAAATTTTTTGTCAAAAACTCTCGACACGAGAAATGAGATTCCAACTTTGTACACATGTTGATAGATGGAACAATGATGTTTTCAAATGTAAACGTTATGCGCTTAGCGTTTCTGTGAATGGAATGTCGAAGTAAGTTGGATCCCTGTTTTTATGAAGAATCAAGAGTACCATAAATCTAATGTTTTAGTCAAAATATTTTACATAGGGACCATAAGAGCTGGTGTTAACAAAATGAAGCCAGATTATATCTGTCGCAATCGCACAAAACTGCCCTCAAAAAAATATTGCAAATTTACATTTATTGTTGAGATACAACGAGTGTGAATTTTAAAAGCAGTGATTTGAAAATCTAGGTTTGTCTGGCCTTCACTTCGGTAAGGCGCATTTAGCCATACCATAAAGTCCAAAACTGACATATAATTCGTAAAAACTCTCAGTGTCAATTATTGAAAATATTAATTCCGTGTTCTGATTGGTTGTCCATGAGAAAAATTACCATATCTTGAATGAATGCACCTTAATGTGGTACTTTACATTTTTACGGAACGCCATCGCTTGTGTAAATTGCGCGTTACTCAATCTATAGATCCAGCTAGTTGCTTGCAGAAGTTTGACCGATTTCCAAGTGTCTCTGAGCTGAGTAGCTGGTGAAATTGATACAACTTTAGAGTTGGAGAAGACGATATATCATATGTAGCGTTAAAAAAACATTGCCTATTATCCTACTAACTAGGTTGTAGTCAAAAACTAACCAGTTTATGCGTTCCAAAACTTTTAAAAATCTGTTTAAAATCTGTTTTTCCGTTAACCAGCTGTCGCCTCCTTACGAACGACAACTCTTAAAAGTCGAAACTTGTGCGAGCTAAGGACTAACAAGGTCTTACCTTTTAACATGTGATTCCTAACACGGATTGGACGATAGGAATTGAAAATCGATATTTTGACCTTGCGGTTCGAACCACCGGTTCGCACAGTGGTGTATCAAGTTAGTGAAACAAATCACTCACGTAATCCACCAGGCTATCGTCCCACCTAAATAAACGCTACTACATTTTTTATGAAAAACTGGTGACATTCGAAATGTTATCTTCTGAAAATCAGTTAATCAAACGTCAATCAAGTCACCGGCATATATTATACGGTTGCCAAATGTCAAATGTCAATACCGTTATGCTGACGTTTAATCGTATTCGAGTGTGTATTCAAAAACGATTCGTAGTGACTTCATTAATAAAAAGATTCGCCAGAATGGAATGATTCACATTGTCAGGTGTCACATTCACTAATAAAAACAAACTTTTCAATTTCCTCCAACCTCAATTACAATCGGATTTGTGCAAGTTATAATTTTGCAGCATTGTTCAGTACATCCTTACAACATATTTGATAAAAAAATTTCAGCACTTCATAAACTATAACGATCAAAATAAAGCAGAAACTGACATCTGACGTAACATAACGTCAAATTCCGTTTCAAAACCAACCTCACGCTAGTTTTGAATCATCATGAATACGTTTCAAATCATAGTTGAGGTGACGTCATCGTTTCAAGCCCGGAATGAATGTATTTGATGAGCGCCAGAAAACGCCTATAATAACAATGAACAATCAAATGTGGGGCATTTGAAATATTCTAAGTCTGCCTTGGCCACTTTAATAATGAAGTTTCCCAGTTTCAATACTGCCAGAGTCCTCTTTCAATAACTCCATTCTATTCTTTGGAATTCGATAATACTTTTCGGAAATTCCAGCAAACTCCCAATTCAGTCGCAAATTCCCTCAAGGAACATAAATAATGAATCAACATAATCTGTAAAAGTACTTGATAATCGAATATGTGTTAAAAAATGAACACTAATTCATGCTTATTCAGGGAGCCGCTGTTAAATTTTCTATTATCTAAAATTTGATTCTAAATGGTAAGCATTATAAAACATTGAAGAGTACTGAAAATTTCTAGATATTTTCATTTTTCTTTTCATTATGATTTCCTACCACGTAGTAACGGCTACATCCATCAATTTATTGAAAAGTACAATCGCCAAGTTACTTTCCGGGGTAAAATTTTCAGTTTGCCCTGTACTACACTTCAGCAGAATCTCTGTTGACTCAATTTGTTTATTTTTTGAGTTGTGGGATGTTATACACCCAAAAAACAGAAAGAACCATTCACTCCTTCACAAGAATATATTTCTTAGAATGAAATATAATCACTTGAATTACTGTAACTGGAAATGTTTACATTTTTCATTAAAAAGTGTTTGAATGTCTGGAGAATTGTATACTTTTTTGGAGTTTTATTTAGTAATCGATAATTAATTTTCAAAATATTCATCGAAGAAGTTGACAATTTATTTTTCATCATCGATTACGACATCGTTAATTTTGATGTTCTTCATTACACATATTTCCATGTTTTTTGCATATTGATGACCATTAATTTATTTTCATTTCAGCTCACAATTTTTCTTTACAACTCACCGATTATATTTTTAAATTTCATACTTGCGTTTGTTTTTCTCACTTTTGATATCATTTCTTTTTTTATTACCTCGTACGAGCTAGTATTTTTATNCGTAAATGCTTATTTTATTAATCACAAATACATATCTCATTTGAAATATTCATTGTACATGCAGAATACTGACAAACACAAAATGTCTTCGATCAAATTCGTTGATGTTTTAATACTCCATAAAGATATTGTGAATTGCTCTGCTGTTGTTAACCTATATTTGATTTTGAAAGGTTACTGAAACAGGGTTGAAACGCAGTAGTTCTTGATACACAGTATAAGTTTTGATTAGATTCATACATTTTCTTCCGGCGTTAAGGTATTCCATACTTTCGTTCGTTTAAAACTTTTCTTCATTTCGTTTGATCACGAAAAGAAAGAATCCTAGATATGTGAATGAGACCTAAAATTTGAAATTGAATGAAACCGAATCGGTCCCATGTTTACCTCTAGTGAAGTTAATATTGAAGAAATTGAAATAAATCAGTTTTTCCGCTCGCCCGTCTTTTAATTATACAATTGAGATAATTATAATTAGCATTTAAAACCATTTTGTTTTTCAAAGTTCCCGGTTAATTCTGTGAAATAAAAAATGACCTTTTCATCTCGATATCTCCATAACTATCTATAGATAGATAGATAATATATTTGTCTCTTTAGGTTGTTCTTACAACATGAGATATGTCAAAAAAAAATAAAAACAAACAAGTACAAACACATTAACAATAGTCAATTTCACATAAAAGTTAAAAACATATTGGATGGATACATCCAACATCATCTATGTAGTATGTCATTCTGATGAACTTTTTTTGTATTCCAAAGACTCTGGATGTTTCTGTGGACCTTCCCCATACTATGACGTTGCAGCTGATGGTGCTATATACCAGTGCATAATATAAATTAATCAAGTAAGGTCTATGAAAATTTGACTTGAGTGTATAGAAAGCATAATATAGTTTATTTAGTTTTTTGCAAATAGAATCTATTTGGTTGTTAAATGAGAACTTGTAGTCTAGTTCCATACCTAAGTATCGTGCTGACTCTGATGTGTTTATTTCAATATCATCAATATTTATTGTAAGATTGTGTGTTCGCCTGAGGGGACTTGTAAACTCTATGAACACCATTTTGTCTGTATTGTTAATTAGATGATTCACCTCACACCAGTGCGCAAATTCCTCTGTAACCAATTTAATTTTCTTTTGGAATTCAGTAGCGGTGTCAGCCACAACAATAACTGTGGTATCATCCGCATAGATAAAGGTTTGTCCATGCTTAATGTGAGTGGGTAAATCATTCACATAAAGCAAAAATAGCAAGGGGCCTAAGACACCACCTTGGGGAGTGCCAATTGTAATGTCAAAGTTATCAGAGAACTCGTCCTCAATCTGCACCTTAAGCGTCCTCCCAGATATATATGATAGGATCCACTGCTGAACTGGGCCTCGTATACCTATTGCCTCTAATTTGGTTGGTAAATACTCGTGCTTTATGGTGTCGAATGCACGCGACAGGTCAAAGAAAAGTCCTCCTACAACTTTGTTTTCGTTGATATTATCATNACGACCCTGGGGAAGGTCCCCGGATCCCTGGTAGAGAGTACCGCCGGATGTGCCGGTTAGCGACAAGCGACGCTGACGCAAGATAGGACACGATCGGTGCGTCGGTATGCTCGTCATGTTGGTCATAGCACAGTAACGTACGGAGCCTCTCGAGGTTACAAAACGGGGCCCACTCTGAGAGATTTCTTTTTTTTTCACTTTTTCACATGGTATCACGAAAAACACTAGTTTAAATGAACCGTTTATTTGATATAAATATAATTTAATGTAATATAAATAAAAGCAAATACACCAAGTACTTTCTTTTTGTAACTTGAAACTGAATGAAAGATTCATTCATAAAAATATCACCCGAATCAGTAATCACCAATAAAAAATTATCCTTTAATCCTATATAAAAATATTTTTTAGATTCATATCTCCGGCGGAGAATAGGAATGTATGGAAAAGAAACATATGCAGTTCTCTAAATTATGTAGTGAGAACATATACCTAATTCAATTCCAATTCATAAATATTTATTTAACACAAACAATGTTTATTCTTAATGTGGTCATCACATCAATATATTTATAATTATAATTTTGTTAGGACAAAAATGAAAAATAATCTTTCATTTCCTTTCAACATATGAAGACGAAGAAAGAAGGGCTACAAATTGTTTTGAATAAAATTTCCTAAATCCCTGTTTCATGGTAAATTTCAATAGTTAGGACTTCCATTGTCTAATAAGATATAACATAATTTGAAATCCCTGATGAAACAAACAAAATAGAAAATTGAAATGAATAGCTGGAATCATCACCCGAAGACGATTGTGGAAACTAACAATCAAAACGTCATGAAGTAACTTGGATTGAAATCTTTCATTTTATAGTTCATTTTAATTGTCCGATTTTCAATTTCTTGCTTAATTTTTATTTTACTGTGATTTCATTCCAGGGTTTTTTTGTTTGATATAATTGTCATTTTCAGCTACTCACTTCAATTTTCAATTTTATCTGTTCTTTTAGGGATTTCAGGTCATATCATATCATATTAGTCCATGAAATTCACCTTAAAATTTTCGTAAATTTTCGAATTTATAATTTATAAATAGTAGGTAGTTCAAATGGCACGTGGCTAAGAAACAATGATTTGATTCTTTTTAGATTTATTTGCTGTCACTGTTTTTCCACTGAAAAAAATCTGTTTTTCCGTTAACCAGCTGTTGCCCCCTACGAACGACAACTCTTGAAACTTGTACGAGCTAAGGGCTAACGAGGTCTCATCTTTTAACGTGCGATTCCTAGCATTATATTCATAGACTAAATTAAAGGCAGAAACAGAATGATTAAAGCATCAAAGATCCTGCAAATACCTGTTGAATTTGTATCTCAAGTCAATTTAGTTAATCCATATTAAAGACAATACAATGATGGTAGGTAACTGAAAAATCCAAAAAAAAAAAACTCTGACCGAAACAAAAGCAAGAGACAAATTTCAAGAGGAAATAACAGAGAAGTTCACCACAAACCAAAGAGTAAAGCAAGGAGGCCCCAATTTTTCAACCCTATTCAAGGAAAACGTATATGAACACGAAAATATTTCTACATCAGCGGCGGCTCGTCAGAGGAGGCAAGGGAGGTTTAGCCTCCCCATAAAATTTGAGGCTATTCATCGCAATAAATTAAAAGATATTGACAAAATTATGATTATTTTTTTCTAAAAATGCTTGGTTAATTACTTTACCATTCATTTTTAATATAAATACATAATTTGCCCGAAAAAACACTGTCACTCACTAGGTAGTACGTACCACACTGTATCCTGCATCAACAAACGTCAAACGCACCGCCTATGAACGAATAACGAATAAACCATCAACCCGGAATAATAAATGCCATACGTTGCAAGGGAGCCAAGCCTCCGACCGCTTTAAAAAATACAAGCTCCGCGAGACCGAACCAACCAGCGACATACGACCCGATTTGTAATTTCGGTTGCGGAAATTATAGCGTTGGAGGAGGCTAGCCTCCAGTTGGTCTCCGTAAGTGTACGACTGCGTTTGTTTTTTATTTGATTATTCGGACGGGATGCCGTGACGAACTGGGACTGAAAAATATTTCGGTAAATCGTTTTAGTGTTTCTTGATAATATTTGTTATTTGTGTATAAAACAGGCAGTATTGTATTATAGCAGTGCTTTTTGGTAATATTGTCAATGTGTTTTTGAAGTGTTTTCTTTCAA